GCCAGATGCACGGCAACTGGGCGACCTGCCCCAAGCTCAATCGATACCAGCTCGCGGTCTGGCCGGCATGGTACAAGCCGGGAGCGACGAGGCACTCCAACATCTGCTTGCCGGTCCGGCAGATGTAGCTGACGCTGCTCTCGAGCTTCGAAAGCGTTGCCACGTGAGGGTCGTAGAGCATCTTGGGACATTGTCCATGACCGCGTGACAGAAGCAACGAGCACTTGCTGTTGCACACCAGGAGACATGCACTCTTGGCTTGGTTTGAGGCACCGGCGACACTGCAAAGCACGTCAGCCAAGGGACGTTCCTCAGCATGGCATTCCAGGGTGCAGGTGGAGAGAAAGCTTCGTAGGTGCTCGAAGGCCGAGTCCTGAAAGCACAGACCATCTCTGTCGCAGAGCTCGTGCCGAATCTCGTCGGCAAGCAATATTTGTCTTCCGAGGACCAAAGGTCGCCGAACTCCTGGCGGTAGTGGGTCCAGACTCTGGCATTGTAGCGCCTGGCCTGGTTCGTCCCGGCCAGCAGTGTTGCATAGGCTGCCTGCCCACATTCCTCGCCCAGCCAGTTCTGGTAGAAGGATGGCTCACTGCTCTGCAAGAATGCCATAGCCAGCTGCAAGCAATGATGCGTGCAAGCAACGCCGTGGTCCATCACCCAGCCAGCAGGCCTCCAATGCAGCATCGTTTTGATTGATAGGATGGAAGCGACACAGTGGCAAGCCGCGGGCCAACATCTGTTGCAGCCTCACCCAGGCTGCGGTCGAGAAGAAGCGGCTGCTCGAGAGGCATGCCAAAGGATTCGGTGGTATCAGTTGACACTTCTCCTCAGCGGAGAGGCGACAGAAGTCTTCTGCAGCCATGGCCGAAGACACCTGCGCCGCCAGAGCCGACGCAAAGGCCAGCCAGGACTCCTCTTGGATACACCAAGGCATCCTGGCTTGCAGATCCAATGGGCGCACGTACAAGTCTTCAGGATCTAGCACTTCGCACGGCTTCAGGCTTCAAACTTTGGGTGCTTCCCTGAACCCTAGACCGACAAGCACCGAACCCCCGCAAGCAGCCCAAGCGCAAACAGAGGTCACACGATTCAGGCAGGGCACAGGTAGATCACGTGGCTCCGCTTGGTTCCATATCTGATGAGGCATGTGGATCTGGCCAGACCATGGCTCCTCGAGCAGCTGCTGGATGCACTCCGGAACAGCTGGCTGGATCTGTCTCTCGGCAGCGGGCTCCTCCAAGGCACTGATAAACAGACAAGATTGGGAGATCCATGCCAGACTCGAAGATTTGGGGTGTGGGAATGGTTTTTGGGGTTGGGGGTCTTCTGTGGTATTCGCATCGTCCTGGAGCGAGGAAGCTGTGGAAGTTCCCGGCCTTGCCCCAGCAGCCTTGTCAGATTTGCAAGACAACTGGGAGATGGTAGGTAAGGTTCGACCGCCTCCTCCCCCCCGCAAAGCAACCCCCGGTTTTCGGCCTGAGATGGGGGGGTTGTTTCAAGGCGTTTCGGCACCAATCCCAACCGCCCTGACCGGTCCTGTGCTCCGACGCCCCGCCCCTCCAACACATTCCGATCCGTTAGCACTACCCGGCCCGGAGGAGTTGTCCAGCCTTGCCCTGCGTTTTGCGCGAGGATGGCTCCGGTGGAGGCTCCGGCGCCTGATGGTAGCACGACGCAAAAGTATGCGAGGACAGCCTGCTGCTGCTGCTGCTGCTCTTGCTGCTGCTCGGCCTTCTGCGGCTTCAAACACACGTTCCGCGATAGCTCCAGCCGAGGTTCCAGGGCCTCAGGACAATCGGGAAAAGGAAGCGGAGGCCCAGGAGCAACATCAACATCACAGCAAGGAATGACCTCGAGAGGCACACTGGTGTAGCAGCAGGATCCGTCCCAACCTCGGTGGGAAAGAGAGACTGCAGAGCAGAAAAAGAACACAGGCGTCAGTGGATGCACGCACGTCTCGCACTCTTTTTTTGGTTTGGTCTCTGGCCACGGGAGTCACAACACACACGACCCTGAACCGCATGACTGAAGCTGCGCTTGGAAGTGCATCTTGAGCGGGTGGCTGCGAACTTCCTTGGTGCCTACTGCGGACTACATACTGCTTTCGGCTACGAAGCAAGTTTGTGGTACCACGTCCCTGCTGCGAAACAGGGGTAATCAAGGCAGCCCCAGGCAGTAAATACGCAGACACTACAAGCTACGAGACGGCAGGTGGCATTCAGCTGTGCTTCTCCTTTTTCTGCTTCTTCTGCTTCTTCTCCTTGGACTTCTTCTTGGACTTTTCCTTGACTTCTTCTTCTGGTTGTTCTGCATCTTCGCTGTGCTGTGCTGTCAGTGGATTTTGATGCCATGGTCTGCCTTGTGGCCCGACGCTTCAGAGCAGCATCTCTCAAATCCTGATGTGACAGCGCACCCACCGCACGATGAAGAGTCCTCTTCGTGATCCTCAGCACCTCAGATGCGTCGTCGCTGTCCTCGGTGTCCTCCGGATCAATGCCCTTCGCAACCACGTGTTGCAGGCACATCTCTCGAGCCAGCTTCGCCAAAGGGTTCATATCTGATGTTGCCGACGAAGTTCGAGTACGGTCTCAGGCAACAGAAAGCACCAGACAACAGGGTCGCACAACGAGTCCATGCAAAACCCTGCGGCCTAGTGTTTGCTGTTCTCTTCTGGTATTGCATGGTATTGTCTGCTCCGGCTGTATTTCTGTGTGAGCCTTCCTGGATCCGGGCACCGTCTGGAACCAAAATGTTGCTGACAAGATCCATCCCACTCGATGCTGCGTCGCACGGTCATTCGAACATGGCAGCACTTCAGAAGCCCACGTGAGTGCGCTAGTTTCATTAGGTATCCGACCCCCGGTGGATCAGCAGATGCAAGCTGAGTCGGTGCTTCTGCCTGCCGCGGAACGTACGACTACCCGAGGACTGCACGCCGAACGTACGTACAGCAGCAGGCCTGAACGTCATGCTCGGGCAAAGCTGCCTGCTAGACCAGGAGCCGGACATCTACAAGAGTACAACAGCTGTCCGGTCCAGTCCAAGGTCGTGGCTCCGCCAGCCGAAGAGGAAAAAAGGTCATGGGAACGAACAGAAAGTGAAGCGCGCAGCTATACTCTATAAGGCTGCTACCCCGGCCTATGCCTAGGAAGTGTTGCCCAAGGATTTTTCCAGAGAATTACCGAGCACATCCCAACGTGAAACAACAAAACGTGTGAATAAGTATAAGCGCGGGGAAAGCTCAACACCCAGCAAAGAACCGGCCTCCTCAACCCCAGCCAAAGGAGGCTGATCGCGAGGATCTCGATCCACGGCCTGCCCCAGGGCAGCTGCATCAGCAGGCAGCCAGGATCAGATCAAGCGTCATCAGAAAAGGGAGAAAAAAAGCTGGCCTGTGGCGGAGAAGCAATGTCAGTCGCGACCTGGGCCGGGGATCACGAACAAAAGATAACCACAGCTCCACAGTTCCAGCGACAGCCGAAATCCAAGTTCCCGGACATTCTGCAATGGCTGTCGGGATTGTCGCTCGTGGTCCTGCGTGTGAGCACGTGAGACCATGTACGGAGTAGGCAATGCATGCAGCCTCGTCCGCCACTGCTGGATGCTCCTCCGGTGCCTCTAGCAGAGTCAAAGGGAGACTTAAAGGGGACCCCGAGGCGGCAACAACCTCGGCATCGGCCCGGCCTGATCGACCGGGACAATCTGCAGTGCCTGGCATTCTCGTCCAACCCGAAAGCCCAAAAACGCCATAATCGGACCTCGCCGCCTGCCTGTGATGCATAGCCGTGGTCAAAAGCTTCACAGGCTCGCTGCCGCACCTCCTCAGGCACCTGCGGGTCGCAAACGTATTTGAGGAGGGACAAGCAGCTCCATGCCAAAACAACCCAAGGGCCCAGCTTTGTGCACACGATTCTCTTCGGCCCACTTGTTGGCCTAACACGTCTTGCAAAGACCGCTGCCTGTCCCCGGACATGAGAACCGATGCCTTCCTCAAAGAATCCAGGAGCCCGCTGTTGAGATCGCCGTCGGAGTATTGAAATTTAACTCAGTTCCAAAGAGAAATCCGATGTGCCCAAGATAAAAGGAGAAAGAAAAGAGGTCACGGACTCAATCAGAGCTCAGCCCAGCACAATCACGGCGTGTACCGCCGTAGGATCGGAACCAGCATTGCCACGGCATGGTTCACAGGCTGAATTCTCAAATTTGCACGTGTTTCTTCTGCACTGCGGCCATGCTGCTTCCAGTTATGAGAATGTCTGGTGGTCCTACCAACACCGACGGTCAAGGCAAAATGCCTGAGGATTGATTCGTCCCTGCGGCAAAGTTTCACACACAGCTCACCTGTCTCATGATAGTCCAGACGAAGCTCGCAGTTCCCTTTGGCATGAGAACATGCACCCCGGAGACCACGGATTCCTTAGACCAGCCCGAATGTGCTCTTAGCCTCCAAGCGAGCATCGGAAATAAAACAAATTTTCCTGGGGCATCCGAAAGGGTGGGGGCGCAAGGCATTACGGGGGGTCGCAAGGCGCATTTTATTGCCTTCCGGGAGCCCCCGTACAGGGGGGGCCGCAAGGCATTCTGCAGGAGTAGTGATCTGCTGTCGTCTTATATCCGATATGACGGATATTCCTTCTACTACACTATGGGCATTACTCAGTTATTGGTATGTGTTTCGTCCGTCTTCGTGCCATGCTTCTGCAAGTCGTTTGAGTTAGGGGCGGGGCGAGTTCGGGCTCCTTGGGGCTAGCATGTTGCGGTGTCGATATTGAGTGACCTTGGCTCACCGTTGCCGCGGTGATGAAGCAACCTACCTTAAACTACCATACTTAATACTTTGGCAGGTTCGTATTCTGAGCCCTGATATGGAATTCATAATTCAGACAAGTAGGTTATGGTATTTCAAGGTAAGCATTGGCTCCATACTCTCTGATTCCCTGCCAGGATGCTATGCACCCTAAACCCCTAAACCTTAAACCCTTAAGCCCAAGAAGAGGCGCCTTTGGTGCATCGATACATCTCAGCTCGCCGGTTTCGTCCTGGCAGATAGCTTTGAGGCGTGTAACTCAAGCCGTTGTTGCGGGTGCTTGGGGTTTAAGATTTAGGGTCAGGGCATTGGGTTTAGGGTTTAGGGTTTGGGGTCAGGGTTAAGGTAAAGTCTAGGTGCTGGTTCTTTCTAGTAGCTCGCACGACGTTGTAGGCTTTGCTGCTTCGAGGTGTCGGGTGCATTGGAAGGAAGAATTTGTGTTGGTCTGCAGCTCAGGACTTTTGTAAGTTTTGGGTTCAGGGATTGTGGTGGAACTTGTTTGTTACGGTTGTCTAGGGATCAGGATTGCAGTCATGGGTCTCTGTTTACGGTTTGTGCAAGGCTCTTGCACGGGATTTTCTGTTGAATGAGCTTTAGACGGTTCTGGCTTATGGCAGTTGGGCTTCGGACTAAGGGTGCTTCGCCGATCAGCTGCAGAGGTTGTATGATTGAAGCAGTTTCGGATTTACTCCTTAAGCCCCAACCCTAAACCTTAAACCCTAAACTCTAAACCTGAAACCCTAAGCCCTGAACCCTTGACCGGGGGCCTAGCCCCTGGAAGCCTGAAGCCCAACATAACTTTCACACCTGGAATAAGGTTGGGGGGGGTATATTAGAAGGGGTTGTATATTACAGGATACTTGCATACGGGCAATACTGCAAGGGAATAAGAGTACCAGGTGTCTGGGCCCCAACATTAGTCACTCAAACGCCTTTGAAAGCCCGAAAACCTACCATCAAACCAACAGAAAGTTTTATGCAAAAGTGCCAGGATCCTAAACCCTAAACCCTGGCCCTCAGAAACGCTATCACTAACAACCCGGCTACGTTTCCCCTTGAGCCTGAGCCGAAAGAACAACCTCTATAGTCTCCATTGTAGCTCCCTTTTTTTGGTTAACCAGGTTTAGGGTTTAGGGTTTTAGCGTTTAGGGTTTAGGGTTTAGGGTTATGGCTAGGATCCTATAATATAGATTTTGGTTAACCAAAAAAGGAACAACAATGGAGACTACAGGTAGGCCACGAATACCTTAGACACCGAACCTGAAGCCGTAAACTTTCCAACCTAACTATGAGACTACATGCCCGGAAAATCCTGAATACCAGAACCCGCAAGCTTGGTTAAATGCTAAACCCCAAACCAAAAAACCCTAAACCCTCAAGCCCAAAATCCTGAGGCCAACCTGCAGACAAATGTTTTCGCCTTGAAGCCTGAACTCCGAGCCCTGAATTCTAAACTCGAATATAGGGGCCTTATCAATTAGGATAGGGTTTGGGGGGGTATATTATACTATAATAATCATAGTAAGGAACCCCGTATGGATAACTATTCCGGCCCGTATATTAACCTAAAATCGGACACCGCGCCTTCTCTTGCTCATCGAAGAGCCGAGCGATGTTCCCGCACTCGTCTTCACTGAAGCCTTCGAACCTTCAGAGGTGGCATCTTTGCCGTTGCTGCAGAGAAAGGGGGCACGCTGCGGCGACGCTGTTTTGCGACTTCTGTTTTTGGGCTACTTCCGGAGAACTTCGGAAATGTTCTGCCGACAACAGACACTACCGAAGATGTAAGGCTTTGGTGGCTGAAGGTGTAGGGCTTGGAGAGCTTGAAAGTTGTGGCGTCATGCGTGAGGGTTTAATGCCAGGAGGAGGTCGGTTCTGGGGGGCGTCTGTTACTGCGAGCAATCCCAAACTCGGATAACCAGAGCCTTACAACCCTAACCCAAAACACGACGGACCTGAATGCTAACCTCTAACCCAAACCCCCCAAGAGTTCCTTCAAAGAGTTCCTTTCTGGGTTCCTTTAAGGCTTTAAGGGCTCCCTTAAAAGGTACTGTTGCTTCTGTAAGCTGTATAATCGGCGCCCCTTAAAAATCCAGACAACCCAGATGCTACTCTACCGTACCAAACCCTATCAGGTTGAGGGCTCATCAATGGCATAGTGGCATAGTAATCCACAAAAGTCTGAAGAAGGACCATGCAGAAGAAGAGTGCAGCAAGAAGGGACTTGCGGGTCTGCAAGTTGCTATCATCTGCGCTGCAGCAGTTTCGTGGAAGCCCTGTAGTGCTTGGATGGCCTTGGAGTACACCGTTGGGGCTTCGGAGTTTTGGCTGCAGCCGTGAATCCTAAACTCTAAGCCCCTAAAAAGCCTAAAACCCACAAAGCCCTAAACTTTAGCGGTGAGCCGAAGTTAAGGGCCGGTTGCGAAGAGACGGTGCTCGAAACACAGCCAAAGGGCTTTGGGGTTGAGCCTTCCGTCACACCTTACTTGAAGGCTCATGGGACTTAGTAAGTAAGGTAGTAGGTTATAATTAGGATAACCCCCACTTAGGGAAGTAGGTTATAATTAGGATAACCCCACTTAGGGGACTTATAACCCCAATTATAACCTATTTACTAAGTCCCATGATCCCCTAAGTAACGCCATAAACATCAGGAAATCGAACCCTCAACTCGAATTTGAAGCTCAACCTGGCAACGGGGCATTTTGGGCGTTTAGAATTCTGGGGGTTCAGAGTTCGGTGCGTGTTAAGGTATATAGTACAGGGTTTACGGCTGGCAGTAGGATACAAGCTGAGCCCAGGACCTGCGATAAAGCTGGAGAACTTGCCAGACCTCCAAACTTACCATTGGTTAGTAGGGAATGGAGGAATGGGGTATAGTTATAACTTATAACTACTATTACTACCATTCTTCCATTCCCTACTAACCAAAGGTAAGCAAAAGCTCTGGGGCTTCGTGGTTGGGCTTTTGGACTGGCGTAGTGTTTGGATTGTGGTGATCAGTCTTTAGGAGTTGGGACGGATGCTTTCGCTTTAGGCCTTCGGGGTCATGAGGCTGTGGTGATACGGTTTAGGGTTTAGGGGTTTAGGGTTTATCACAGCACATAATACGTAATTAGGGACCATGAGGGTAGACTTGAAGTAGTTACTCTTGCTGAACCCTAATCCCGAAACCATGGGCCCCTAGACGACACAGAACCGGCGAGACTTCAGATCCCTGGGTATTACTTGGAGGGTCGGGGGACTTAGTAAGTAGGTAGTTTTGTAGACTTATAAGTACCCTAAAAGGGACCCTAATTGGGGTTATGGTACTTGTAAGTCCCTAAAAAACCAGTTACTAAGTCCCCCGACCCTCCAAGTACTGCTCTTTACGCTTTAGGGCCTAGGGCTGAGGATGTCACGAGAATAGGTACCCCTGTAATCTGTACTAAAGTCTTCTAGTTGCCCTTTGTAGTTTCCTTTTTGGAACCCTGAACCCTAAACCTTAAACCGCTTAGGTGCTGTGGATCTAGTGCCAAAGCGCCTTGTCATTGCAAGCCCTACGATCTGAAGCCACTGAAAGCCCGGAACCTGAACTCCTCGATCCCAGCCCCGGCACCCCAATATAGAGGCCTCAAGAAATCCTACTAAAAGGATCATGGGACTTAGTAACTAGAGTTATAATTAGGGTAACTATACTTATAACCGCAATTAAGGTACTTATAACCTTACTTACTAAGTCCCATAATCCTCCAAGTAGGCTTTTGGGATCTATCATAGCAGAGATGTTGTAAAGAAGCACAAGCAATACTGCTAGTAATTCTCATGCTTCCCTTCCACATTCCGTTGCCCTGTCTGCCTGGCCCAGATCCAGCTCATCCTCCTTGTGTTAGAATCGCAGGCTTTGGGGTTTAGGGCTTAGGGTTGAAGGGGTTAGGGTTCAGCTCAGGGCTTTATGCGCACAAAGAGCCACCCACGCACAAAAACAAACACATCGACCAGCCCAGAACCCTGAAACGAACCTAGTAGCCTTCCAAGAGTCCGAAAGTCCGTAGAACTGAGTTTCAGGGCTTCAGTGTTGCAGCTGTTCGCATCTCAGAGGTGCCCCTGGTGCAGCGCGCCCAGCACGAACTGAAATCCCAAAACTCTCCAACAAAAGCAGCCATGATGGTAAGGCTAGCCATGAAAATAGCACTAACTAGCACTTGGAGGAACAGAACCCTTAACCCGAAAGTTCAAACCTAAACCATGAAATGTAAACCTTAAACCCTAAAGTTTAAACCCTCAACCCTAAAGCTTAAACCTCAAACCCTAAAGTTTAAACCTTACACCCCAAAGTTTCAACCTTAAGCCCTAAAGTTTAAGCCTCAAAATTCAAACACCCTTCAAAAACCCTAAAACCACAAGTCGAGCCTGTGGTCAAGCCCAAGAGGCTTCCACGGACTTCCGTAAAGCCATACGGTATTGGGTTTAGGGTTAGGGTTAAGGGTTCAGGGTTCTAAACTGAATAGGCTTTAGGGTTCTAAACTAACCAGGTTATAAGGCTCTAAACTAAAAAATGTCTTTAAGGCTCTAAACTTTAAGCTAACTAGTTTTTTAGGTTCTAACCTGAAAACCTAAAGCCCAAAGCCCTGCCCTAAACCCTGAACCCCTAAACCCTAAACCTAAAACCCAAAGCGCTGAACCCGAAGAGGACTGCACTCCTCCTCCAGGCAGGCGCGTTTCTGCGCCTGCCGATCGCGTGCGGGGCTTAGGACGTCGAGGGTTTAGGGTTGAGGGCTTTAGGGATTTAGGGCTTAAGGGGTTTAGGGATTTAGGGATTTAGGGTTCAGGGTTTAGGGATTTAAGTGGGCTTAGGGTTTTAGGGTGTTGGGGTTTAGGGTTTACGGGTTTAGCCTCCTGTTCCTTCACAACGAGGAATGACGAGAATAGGGTGTTGGTGTACGCTTTACGGTTTGTTTAGGGTTTAAGGTTCAGTGTATACGATACTAGAACTCTTGAGAGACTGTAAGGGGATGTGCTTAAAATTCTACGATGGGGACTTGTCTGGGTTTGAGCATTTGGGCTCCTCCTCTTCGTCTGGCGCTTGTGCTGAGTCTGCCATTCTTACTGCTCAGGTTCGTCGGCATCATGCTCTTGTGACAAGGATCCAAGGGTGGGATGCAGATAGGTGGAGTAGTCCCAAATAAGGGTCCTTAGATCAGGGACCCTTGATCCTACCTACCTTTCATCCTACCTCTTGAAGCCCCAGATCCTTGAGCCATGCGCTCATGAAGGTCCCCCAACGCCTTTACTCTCTAAGCTGCGCCGTCGCCTTCTTGTTGCGACTGCTTCTTCTGCTTACAACACTCTTACGTTGTCTGGAATCTCAGGAACATTACCACGGTTTCCACTAACATTCCCAGCCATCCAGACCCCCAGGAGTATCCAAAAAGTAGAGCCCTTAATGGGGGTTCCTATAAAGTACCCTTAGTAGTTTAAGGCCCCAAAATAGGGGATCTACTTTCGAGATCCTCCCGCCCCTAAACCCTAAACCCTAAACCCTAAACCCTACACCCAGTCTGGGCATCCCTTAACCCTAAACCCCTGAAGCCGAAACCCAAGGTCCGAACGACTCAAAGAGGTCTCTGGGTCAAGAGGCCTTCCCTGAAGACTTGGGAGTGTCCGAAAAGAAGGGGTACCTTACTTGGGGGCCCTTAGAACAAGGATACTACTAGTTAGGGGGGGGTCCTTATAAGAAGGATCCTGCTAGTTGGGGGGGGTCCTTATAACAAGGATCCTGCTATTTAGGGTCCTATATTAGGGTCCCTCCCCCTATTTTCGGAAACCCCCCATTTGCTGCCTTGGGTTTTAGGGTTTCGAAGTCAATAAGAAAGCCTGAAGCCACAACCCAGAGGCAAAACAAGGCAACGAAGCCCAACCTGTATAAACCAGCGAGTCCCTATAGATCCTACGCCCCAAAGCCTGATAAAAGGGCCTGAAAACATGGTGAAGCCATTCGTCAGGGCCCCTTACTGTGGTACTATACTATAGTATACCCCTGAAAGTCCTATTCAAGTATTATTATGAAGGCCTCTACGTTCCTAAACCCTAAACCCTAAACCCCCAAACCCTAAACCTGGAACCTTATGCACAAAGCTCATAGCCCGGCACTAACACAGGAAGTACCTCGATGATGACTTTGACACCCCAGGGATCGTACCCGAGGCCTGAAGCGGAAGCAGGGTGGAGCTGTTCGGACTGGGGAGTGTCAGGGGGGGCCTGTGGGATTTAGGGTTTAGGTGCTGTTTGATCGGCGGTGAATTCAGGTGTTAATGAGGGGCTTAGGCTGTGTACAGTGTTTAGGGGCCTTATGGGGTTAGGGGTTTCGAAGGGAGTAGGGCTTACGAGATTGTGTCTTGCTTTGCTAGAGACTCCAAAACCGCGTTGACGACGCAATTCTGTCGACAAGGCGGATCAACTAAGATATGTTGAAGCCGCTCGCTAAGGATAACCCTAAACCCTTAAGTCATATTTGCTTCAAACTTCTGGTTGTGACAGGCCGTGGGGTTTGGAGACTCAGGGATGAAGGCTTAATATTCACATGGGAGTTTCCGAAAATTAGGGGTACCTTATTTTGGGGGCCTTATAATAAGGATCCTATTATTTAGGGTAGTAGATTAGGGTCCCCTATTTTCGGAAACTCCCACATGAGGCGAGAAAACCGAACTGCGAAGTCCTTCTTACCAACCCTGTAGAAGCACGTTTCGCAATCCTCATAGTACCCCTGAAAGGTTCTCAAGCAAGCTGCTTGTTCTTAACATCAGTCAGGGCTCCTTTGAGCAAGTCGGGCATCTCGTCCTCTCCAAGATTAAGTTTAACCGGAAATGTTGGGAAAGAGAATGTGGGTGGGGTTTAGGATCTAGGGTTTAGGGGTGAATAGGGAATATCGAGTCTAGGCTTTAGGGACATGGGGGGTCTCAGGCCTCAGGGTTTAGGGTTGAACACACATCGTTGCAAGATTTTGGAGGCTTAAACCCCTAAACCCTAAACCCTGAACCCTGAACCCTAAACCCTAAACCCCTAAACCCCAACCCCTAAACCCTAAGGATCTATAGTCTACGGCTTGCGCCCTCGGGCCTCCTTCATGCTTTCGGGTTAGGGTTTAGGGTTTAGGGTTTGCGGTTTTAGGGTTTAGGGTTTAGGGTTTGCGGTTTTAGGGTTTAGGGTTTAGGGTTTAGGGTTTGCGGTTTTAGGGTTTAGGGTTTAGGGTTTAGGGGGGCTCGAAAGCTAAATGAAATACATACCCTAGATTGAACTAGCAGGATGTTGATTATATAGACTTCTAAACACGCGCTAAAGAAGGTACCCGTAATCTCCCGAAGCACTTAACCTTAACCTTACCTATAATCTCCTGCAGTAGTACAGTAAGTACGTTTGTACTCATTCTGCTTGAAGTATACAGAATTGAAACTATAGCCACCGTGCTGGCAACGTCAGGTACTACTTAAGTCCCATCAACCCTAAACCCAAAACCAAGATGCTCGCCCTTTGCACTGTGTGCAAGAAGCTAAAGGCAAAGCTAGAGGCAGCCTCAACCCTGAACCGTACGCCCTCATCCCTGAACCCCGGCACCCCTAAAACCCTCGAAAACCCCCTGACCCGAAACCCGTAAACTCTAAACGCTTAACCTTCAACCCCTGAGACTTCTGCCTTGAAGTCTTGAAGCACTAAATCCCCAAAGCTTACGGGCTCGAGCTTGACTTTAGGATTCCGTTGGTGGTTGAAGATTCCGAGTTGAGGCTTGCAAGAGCTTCGTGGGGGGGGGGGGGGGGGTTCTCGTGTTTGCGCCAGCTGAAGAACAAGCCTAATAAAAAAAAATATATTAGTTATTAGTTGTCACCTTCGCAGAGGGTGTGTTCGGAATTTAGTCTGGGAGCAAGGGGCCTAGTGCGGAGTTACATTTATGAGGACTCACACGGGAAGCTTTCGCGTGATAGTCGTGTGCGAAGGCCGCAAAACGAAATAATAGTGGCGAGCCTCAACCAGAATGAAAGGCAGGGATACTGGGATAAGTTTAGGAACAAAAGCTCAAGGTGTAGAGCTAAGCTTAAACCGTATGACTGAGGCTCCACACCCTGAGCCTCAGCACCGAAGCCCAACTCCCCCCAACTCTGGCAAACCCAAGCTACCAACACGAAGGCCCTCGTCTGTCTGAGTGCATCCCTAAAGCCCTACTCCGACTCAACACCCGAAAACACCGTCCTCACCCCTGAAGACGGGAACCTTGTGAAGCGCCCAACCTCTGGAACACGAGTAAACCCCCGAACCCTAAATCAAACCCGAAGCCCCAAAATTCGGATAAGCTCCCAAGCTTTAAGGTGGAAGGCCTTCGGCCAAGTAGATTAAGATGATGTAGGAACCTGATTGAGAAACCCTGGGCCTATAACCCCAAAATACTAGGATTCATATAAGGAACCCTAACAAAGGCCCAAGGTTTCTTAATCAGGTTCCTACATTAGACTTGGTCTGGGGCCATATTGTGGCATGATTACCCATGGGCAGTGTGAGAACACGTCCCGAAATATTGAAACCCCTAATATAAGGGCCTCAATAATCAGAGTAAGGTATCGGGGCCCATTATATTATGCTTGCAATAAGGAACCCTCAAATTAGTATAGGTAATGTTAGTAGTCCCCTATACTAGGAAACCCTAAACCCTAAACCCCCGAAAAAGGGCCCTATACTATAGGAAACCCTAACCTAAACCCTAAACCCCTAAAAAGGGCGCTATCTGAGACCGTCAGACCCTGTCCTTGGACATGGTTCCGTCTCCATCTCGGTCCGCATCGCCCATCGCCTGCCTGGGCTGATGGTTGCGGGGGGCCCAGAGAGCCCAATACCCCTTAATTAAGGAACATACCTTAAATTATAAAGGGATTCATATTATGATTTAAGCCATATTCCTGAATTAAGGGGTCTTGGGCTCTCTGGGGGATTTAGGGGTTTAGGTTAGGTACTGCCCCCATTCAGAAAGAGTCCATAATAGGGCTACTATTAAGGTCCTAATATATCTCAACTATTACTGGGTGGGGGCCGTACCCAAGGTTTAGGGTTCAGGCGTTAGCCTTAAGCCCTAAACCCTAAAACCCTAAAACCCTAAGACCCTAAACCCTAAAACCTTAAACCCTAAGACCTGAAACCCTAAACCCCAAGCGAGCTTGGCTTTTTCACTGTTGTTCGTGAAGAGTTCAGCCTTGAGAGTTTGGGCTTCAGGTTTTTCGGAGTTCATCAAGCTGCTTGAAGGAGCTGTGGACTTCTGCCTGCGGTTGTGCGCCAAGTGGTGGGGGGCTCTCCGATGAGTTTAGGCTGTAGACTTGATATGTGCGTTATTACAGTTGTTGTCGATTTCGCCATTCTTCTTCTTCTTCCTGACATGACTGTTGCTGCTATTCTTGTGGCTGTCAGTTGTCATCGTTTGTTTTACCATATGCTAAGTCTGTCTAGGGTTTAGGGTTTAGGCTTTTGATGGTATCTTCTGACATTACCCCCTGTACCAGGAGGCTGTGTTTAAGGTTTTCGCTTGTCGATCTGAAAATCATGTCGCTTGCCAACCTCCTTTTGGGGTCAGGGCTTGCGGCTTAGGTGGTTTAGGGCTTACGGTTTCATAGGCACCAAAAAAGCTGAAAGCTGGAATAAAGGATACTTAATGGACGGAGGGTACTGAGCTTCTTTCTGATTCCAAACTAGGGTACTACAGATCGACAGAAAGAAGGAAGTTCATATAGCTCAGTGCACGGTTTTTCGCACACAGACACACCGACGCTGAAGAACATACAGACATACATAAAAGCATCATGCTGCATGAAACATTCCTGAAACATAACATACTGACTCCCAATGCACAGAGATGCACAGTGCTTCATGGTACTCCATGACTCTCGCAAATATGCTGTGCAAAAACATGCGTAGCAAGACGCTAGAGGTACGAAGAGGAGAATGCATAGTACTGAATCATACTGACCGACACTGGCGGCAGCAGGCAGAAGTCCAACTGGCAGCCGAGAGTCTTAACGTGCTGCAGCTCCTCCTCGCGCACCTGGCGCTGGATCGACTGGCTTTCGGGCTTGCTGGAACTATGACCTTCAGTTTCAGAATTGTATCAGCTATCTTTCTTTATCGCCCCTATATATCTCTGTACAAGACGACTATACATCGTTGTGTTTCTTGGCTAAGGGGGCTAAAGGATGCGGTTTGAGGTTTCATGGTTTGGGGCTTTCAGGTTCTAGGATTTGGGGCCTTTCAGGTGGTCCAGCCAGCTAGTCATGTGCGACACTCCATGGTTTGTCCATGTGGAGTCAACTGAGATAACCCTGCCAACTCAGCCCTGAACCTCCAAGCACAATAGATCCTGCTGGATTCCACATCAGCACAGCAGAAAACATGGAAAACCTGTCCGGAAGCCCGCTTTGCAGGCTCAAAGGCAAAAGCTCATGCTTCTGCAATCTCAACTTCACTTGGAGGATCATAGGACTTAGTAAGTAAGGTTATAAGTACCTTGATTGGGAAGATAAGTAGTTATATCACTATAGTTACCCGAATTATAACCCTCCCATGATCCTTTAAGTATGGTTCATGCTTTCGAGGTCTGGGGCTCTAGAAGTCCAGTGTTGAAAGCTTTGGGGCTTCAGGCTTATAAGGGTTTAGGGACGGTAGCTTATAAGGCTTATAGGTTTCCTCGGCCAACGTTGAGCTTCTCTGCTTTACGGCCAATTGCTCTTCCTTACGAGCCTAGGGATCACTCACTAGGGGCTTAGAGCTTCAGGCTTACTTCATGTTGTTTTTGAAGCCCCTCTTCTACTCGCACTCATGAAGCATGCAGAGTTGGGGATTAGGACAACTTTGATTCAAGGTGGTTTTGGTTGGATTCCATTGTGTAGTTTTAGGGCCACGGCATCGAAAACAAGTCCCGGCCGGCCACCAAGAGTCGAACCTCGGCTTTAGACACCCCTGAATCCACCAAGAAAAGAAGGGTTCAGGGTTTGGGGCCTGGTAACCTTATTCTTGCAACCTTATAAATTGTAGATAGTAGCCTTATTCAACAACCTTATAGCCTTATTCTAGCAACCTTCTACATTGTAGATAGTAGCCTTGTTTCAGCAATCTTATAGTACCCTTATAGCACACACACCCTCATAGCAACCCTCATGGTAGCCTTCATCCACCCCGCCAAAAAAAGGCGCCTTCCTCATGCACACGATGAACTCCCTCTGGTTGACCTTCCCCTTTCTGTTGACATCCACCTGGCGGTTTTCATACATCGGATCCAGGGTCCGGGGTTCAGGATTATGTAAGGGGGTCATATAAGGCTGTTATTAAAGCTTTTTTTTGGCAGGAGTCGCAAGGGTTCTATAACAAGGGCTTCGGGTTTGGGGCATAGGGTTGGTGGCTATAGGGTTTCAGGGATGGGGTTAAAAGGGTTTCTGGGTTAAGAGGGCTTACGGGGTTTAGGGCTCAGAGTTTAGGGTTTAGGGGGGTTTAGTTGAGGTGCAGGCTTCCCGGCCAAGAAGCTTTGGTGTAGGCTTAGGGCAACAACGACAAGAGTGATAGCAGTATTCAAGACAAGCATGCTCCCTTACACTCGAGTGCAAGCGATATGAAACGGCCCAGCATAGACTGCCGAAGAAATGACATGAACACATGCCTTTACTTATGTGTGGCTGCGGGCGTTTAGGGTCGGCAGTTTAGCGGTTTAGGATTCAACTGCTTGCGCTTGAGGATGTTGCGTGGGAATTTTCGCGACGAAACTGGTGCTGCTTTGCTACAAGCACCATACAGGAAGTAAAAGGCCACAAGTTTGTGCACAAGGGCACCTGTCATTTATCCTTAGATGAAGCACCAGGACGAAAATGTGGCTTGAAGGGGTTTTGTGCATTCTGTCTGGGGCTTCTTGCATTTAGGGTTCAGGGTGGGTTAGGGTTTAGGTAGGGTTTAGAGACACTCGGACAGTTGTGACTTGGGAATTTGGATTCGTCCTGAAAGCCGGATTCGTCCTCAGCCGGGCCTATAACAGACTTAGATATGGCTGTCACGGCAAACCCTGAACGGTTTCTTTTTCAAGCCTCAAACTTTGCTGGATAGTTGTTCAAAACACCTGCCGCCAGAATAGCAAAAACAGGGCCCACGATCCTAAACCCTGAACCTACACCCGACACCCTTAAACCCTAAGCCCTAGCACAAATCCTGAGAACCTGGCCTCGTCGACCACAGACTGGATCCTCGCCTTTCGACGCGTGTGCAACACCCGCAGTTCAGAGCTCGGGGGCTCGCAGAGGGCCCAATACCCCTTAACTAAGGAATATAGCCTAAATCATAATATGAACCCTTTATAATTTAAGATATATTCCCTAATTAAGGGGTATATTGGGCTCTCTGGGTTCAGGTTTCGTACCCCAACGTAACCTTATTCTAATTAAGGCCCCTATATCATACTACCTTATAGAGCCCTTACAGTAACCCTTAGAGACCCCTTTTAAAGTTAGGACCTTGCCCCGAGGGTCCATACTCCCAACTAGTATATGCTTTGGCCGTAAAGTAGTCTCTATATAGGTACTTTCGGGCCGAAGTATATCCTAATTTGGGTACATGGACCCTTAGGGTTGGGTTTAGAGCTTAGGGTCTGGGGGCTGGGGTGTGGAGTTTGGGGGCGAGGGATTGGAGGTTTGGATTTGAGGCTTTCTGAAGTTCGGGCTTCGGCTTTGAACATATGGGAGTTTCCGAAAATTAGGGGTACCTTGTTTTGGGGTCCTTATAATAAGGATCCTTCTATTTAGGGTGCTATTTTAGGGTCCCTTATTTTCGGAAACTCCCATATGGAGGCTGAGGGGCCAGGGTTCGCGGCGGGGTTTAGAGGTTTGACTACCTGGCGTTGTTCGAAGCTCTGGGTAAAAGGTTTGCAAGGGGTCAGGCCTTTGCTTATTCGTGCCACCACAACAAGAAACCCTACTTCAAGAAACCCGCCATAGCCATGCAAATGCAAGTCCTTTCAACAGTCGACCGTAAATGCTAGCTTAAACCCCTGAACCTTAAACCCGAAACCCTAAGTTGCCTGAGCCTTACACCCTAAACCCTGCACCCCTAACCTCCTCAACCTTAAAGCCTGATCCTAAATTCACCCAGTCCTTGGACCACGCAAAGCCAAGCCAAGTCAGGATGGCGGCCAGCGCCGAGGTTTCCTTGGCCCGGGGGTTCGTTCCTGATTTTACTTAGACCAGTTCATGGAACGCCTTAAAGGAACAACTCAAAGAACCCCTCAAAGGATCCCTTGAAGGAACAACTCAGAGAACCCCTTACAGAAACCCCTCAAGGAACCACAACCTTACACGAAGGTCCCTATCGTTTGGATCCTTCAAGAAGTCAGCTTTTAGGGTTTATGGTTGGTAGGTATTCCGAGGGTTTCATGTCGGAGATAGGATTAGGACGAACCCTGTCCCTTTTAAGAGAGCCAGAAGTAGATTTAAGAAGGGTCCCCTTTAAGGGGTCTAGGATAATGTAAAGTGATGGGCTTGAGGGTCTAGGGCTTGAGGGTTGATGCAGGGACACACAAGCGCGTAGTGCTCCAAGCTCCATGGCTTTAAAGGGCTTCAGAAGGTTGTGCAAGGCTTGGGTTCACCCCTGAATCCCCAATCCTAATTAGACCCCAAAGCCCGCAACCCTAGACCCTAAACCCGTAAGCTCAAAACCCCAGACTTTCTTGAGTCTATGCTGCAAACTCACAGCTCTAACTCCCGACTCAATGAAGGCTCCAGGATAGCACCTGTGGGGTTTAAAAGCTGTGGGCCAGGGCTTCAGTTTTAAGGGTTTGGTGTGTGTGTGTGTGTGTGTGTGTGTGTGTGTGTGTGTGTGTGTGTGTGTGTGTGTGTGTGTGTGTGTGTGTGTGTGTGTGTGTGTGTGTGTGTGTGTGTGTGTGTGTGTGTGTGTGTGTGTGTGTGTGTGTGTGTGTGTGTGTGTGTGTGTGTGTGTGTGTGTGTGTGTGTGTGTGTGTGTGTGTGTGTGTGTGTGTGTGTGTGTGTGTGTGTGTGTGTGTGTGTGTGTGTGTGTGTGTGTGTGTGTGTGTGTGTGTGTGTGTGTGTGTGTGTGTGTGTGTGTGTGTGTGTGTGTGTGTGTGTGTGTGTGTGTGTGTGTGTGTGTGTGTGTGTGTGTGTGTGTGTGTGTGTGTGTGTGTGTGTGTGTGTGTGTGTGTGTGTGTGTGTGTGTGTGTGTGTGTGTGTGTGTGTGTGTGTGTGTGTGTGTGTGTGTGTGTGTGTGTGTGTGTGTGTGTGTGTGTGTGTGTGTGTGTGTGTGTGTGTGTGTGTGTGTGTGTGTGTGTGTGTGTGTGTGTGTGTGTGTGGTGTGTGTGTGTGTGTGTGTGTGTGTGTGTGTGTGTGTGGTGTGTGTGTGTGTGTGTGTGTGTGGTGTGTGTGTGTGTGTGTGTGTGTGTGTGTGTGTGTGTGTGTGTGTGTGTGTGTGTGTGTGTGTGTGTGTGTGTGTGTGTGTGTGTGTGTGTGTGTGTGTGTGTGTGTGTGTGTGTGTGTGTGTGTGTGTGTGTGTGTGTGTGTGTGTGTGTGTGTGTGTGTGTGTGTGTGTGTGTGTGTGTGTGTGTGTGTGTGTGTGTGTGTGTGTGTGTGTGTGTGTGTGTGTGTGTGTGTGTGTGTGGTGTGTGTGTGTGTGTGTGTGTGTGTGTGTGTGTGTGTGTGTGTGTGTGTGTGTGTGTGTGTGTGTGTGTGTGTGTGTGTGTGTGTGTGTGTGTGTGTGTGTGTGTGTGTGTGTGTGTGTGTGTGTGTGTGTGTGTGTGTGTGTGTGTGTGTGTGTGTGTGTGTGTGTGTGTGTGTGTGTGTGTGTGTGTGTGTGTGTGTGTGTGTGTGTGTGTGTGTGTGTGTGTGTGTGTGTGTGTGTGTGTGTGTGTGTGTGTGGTGTGTGTGTGTGTGTGTGTGTGTGTGTGTGTGTGTGTGTGTGTGTGTGTGTGTGTGTGTGTGTGTGTGTGTGTGTGTGTGTGTGTGTGTGTGTGTGTGTGTGTGTGTGTGTGTGTGTGTGTGTGTGGTGTGTGTGTGTGTGTGTGTGTGTGCGTGGGTGTGTGTGTGTGTGTGTGTGTGTCGACCTAATGTTGTCGCGCTTCATAGTATTAATATCGTCGAATTATGGGGCTTCCAACTTCCAACTGCCATCATGGCCCTGCAACGAGTACTGATATCGACACTGCTGTTTGTGGTCATGTTGTCAGGATCCGCAAGACTGGTTAGTAAATAAACATAAGACCCTTGTGAAACCCAAAAAAAGCTAAACTTGCACGGAAGCCCTTCAACCCTGAAACACAGAACAGCCAAACTCCAAAGAGTTCGCTGCGCACTGAGCTCCAAGCGCACTCTCCCTTCTTGTCTCGATCGAAGCGCTCAAAGATGTCGTGGAACTCCTGTCGCAGGAGCTGCGGAAAATGCAAGTGGGGTTTTGGAAACAATATAGGGGCCTCAATAATTAGAACAGGTTTTTGGGGCCCACTATACCATCCTCATAATCAGGAACCCCCAAAATAGTATATAATAGGTCATTCTATAAGCCCTTATGATACGGTCTAGGGTCCGGGTATAGAGCCCAAACAATCAGAGATTGGCTCGTAAAGGCCCCTAACTTTCAACATATGGGCGGTTATCAAAATGATGGTCCCTTTTTGGGTAACCTAAATTCCTAAATATTTGTCGCCGTACTAGCATATGGACCCAAAAAGGGACCACAATTTTGAGAGAGGATTCCAACTTCCGGGTTCAGGACTTAGGGTTGAGGGTTTCTTTTTTCAGATCGTTTGGAGATTCTTGTATTGTGGGGGTTGGTTCAAGGCATTTGGGTTCAGGGTGGGCTGAGCTGGTTTTGAGCCGCGCTGCGGTTCGAAACCCTACAACCTACTAGGACCCTATACCAGAACATCTTGCTCCCGCTTTGGGATTCAGGATGTAGCATTAGAGGCTTGGCTTCCACGGCTGTTGCTTTAGAGTGTTGAAGATCTGGGCTTCAGAAGATAAGGACGTGGGAAGCTGTTCGAAAACGCTGTGGAGTTCCATGGCTCTTCTGCTGTCGCCTCGAGTATCCTTGCATACTGGGTCTATGCTAGGATCCCTTGTTAGTGTGTCTTGCGCGAACTCCCATCTCAGCAGCAGACAGGTTCACAGCCACTGCATTGAAGCGAGCGAACACAGGCCGGAACAATTGCATGAGAAAGTCTTGAAGGCAATCCTGGCTCTTGCAAAGTTCACTTCTCGATGATGTTCCACACACTAGCCCCAGAACGAAGAACAGAGATGGATCATTGTCACCGCCTTCAGCAAAGGATGTTTACGTTGAATAGGATTGCTTCCTGGCCCCGAGAAAATCTTTCATGGTAGTAATAATTAGTAATAATGCAAAAAATGTCAACTCTACGACTGCTATTAACAACCAGAGTAAGAAAAAGAATCAGCACAATAATGTTACAATACGAATGAGAATAATTTGAGTAATAAGGCCGTGCAACTATAATCCAGCCCGAGTTGCAGCTCTGGGTCCTAAGTGAAGTTGTCAGCCAACCCAAAAACTTCAACACCTCCTAATTAAACCCTAAACCCCCAAACTCCCAAACACTGAACCCTAAACAAACCCCAGGCCTTTAAACCCTGAAACCCCTAAACCCTAAAAGCCCCCCTAAACCCTAAACCCCTAAACCCTGACCCCTAAACCCTTAAACCCTGACCGTTTACAACTTCATGCGACTCAGAGCCTTTCGTCCTAAGATTTCACCCTCACCCTGCAACCGAATGGAACCTCAAGTCTGGTGCTCTGTAGATCATGGGACCGATTAACTGGGGTTTAGCGTTTAAGGTTCGGGGTTTAGGGTTTAGGGGTAACTAGGGTTACAAATAAGCTAACAAAACTTGTACTTACTGTTAGCCCCAATTATTTGAGGTACTTGGAAGCTTATGTACTAAGTCCCACCATGATCCTCCAAGCATATTATTGCTGGGGCTCTATGGGATCTTACCAGGGCTTTTAAGGAGATAGTCTATAACAAGGGTTTTATATATGGTCAGGCGTCTGGCGTTCCCAGCCCCCCCCCCCAATGGTGTGGTCTGGTAGGGGGTGGGGGCTGGCGTGCGCGGAAAGGGGTCGGGGCCGTTGGAGCTGCCGCGGTGGGGTGGTGCTGGCGGCCAGGGCTCACACGCAAGCCCTTCGCAAGCAAGCCGTAAACCCTATATAACGCAGCGCGTGCCCTTGTTTTGAGTAACCTTAACTTGTACTACAAACCCTGCACCCAACCCTAAACCCCACCTAACTGCAGGCTCTAAGCCTAAAGCAGAACATAAACCGCAAATCCTCCCTGACCCCTTGTCGACTCGAAGCGTTATACCTTGTAAAACCCAAACTCAAAAGCTCAAGCTAGACCCAAAGCCCCAAAGCCCCCACAACCACCCCACAGGAGGAAGAGGGAACCCACAACCCACACCACAGGGGAGGGGTTCCCACCCTATATCCGGACCATTGACCTTTGAGGGGGGAGGGGGGGGACCGCGGAGCGCGTGACCATATATGAGGGTTCATGGTGAGGGTTCAGGGGTTGAGCATACAACTAAACCCTGCTTCAGGGGTTCAGCTCTGTGACGGGTCATGATGTCTGAGCCAGTTTACGGCTGAGGCTCGATGGCTTAGGGCTTGGGGTTTTGGGTTTAGGGTTTTGGGCGTGGCGCAGGGCTTGGAGTCTAGAGTTTTGGCTTCTGAATCTCCCCACAACAAAACGCACTGACAATGACCTGCAACCCCAAACCCTAAACCGCCATTCAAGCCCCAAACCCGAACACCTGAATCCTATAACCCCACATGACATCCCAACTAAATCCCGATCAAACCCTCACACTGACATGGTGTAGGATTCAGGGTTAGAAAGCGCCTAAATACCCAGAGAGCCCAATATCCCGTAATCAAGGAATATAGCTTACATCATAATATGCATCCCCTCATAATTTAAGGTATATTCCTTAAAGTAAGGGGCATTGGGCTCTCTGGGTAGTGGGATCCCTGGTCTTCAAAGCCCTACACAAGGTACTCCTGAACCCTCCCGGTGCCCCTCCTCGAATTCACTCTTGGTGAAGCCTTCTCTGCTCAAGATCCTCGGAAGCTTTCCGGTGGTAGGGCCCAGAGCTTTTCTGTTCTGTATATTGCTTTTGATGTTCATGTGTTTGAGGGCGACAGGAGTTTACATTGCTATAGTCTGACACTTGAGTCTGTCGTAACAGGGACACCTCCCAAAACCATCTCTCTAAAACGGTTCCTAGGCCCCCAATCCATCCCCTCAGACTTAACTTGTGTCATAGACGTGGAACGGGAGTTTATCGTATTGATGCTATCCAAGGCTGCTATCATCTGCTACACCAGCACGGTAACGAGAAATATGATGGTGCTGACAAAGACAGTAATGACATTCATACCAGCAATAATTGCTAGTTCTGCTGATCTTACTGGGGACAATCAATAACGCAGAATAAGCGTCAGAACAAGAGCAATAGTTCGAGTGAGAATGAGAATGAGAAAAATCCAATGACTAAGAACTAGAATGAGAATGAGACCAGGGATAATCAATAGACACGAAGACGAACAAGAATGCACAGCCCTTCCGCAGACTCGAGCAGAGGTTAGAACCTTCAGCCTTAACCCCAAACCCTAAACCCTACACCCTAAACCCCAAACCCTAAACCCTAACCCCTAAACCCCTAAACCCTAAACCCCTAAACCCCTAAACCCAAAACCCTAAACCCTAAACTCTTTACACCAGCCGAGGCGCAGCTGCATGACCGTCCTGAACTCCTGCATATTTAGCGTGCCGAGACCATCCGTGTCCACTTCGGAGATCACCTGCATCTTCGAGGCGGGTTTAGGGTTTAGGGTTTAGGGTTTAGGGTTTAGGGTTTAGGGGGGGTGCAAGTAGGAGGGGGTGTAGTGGATTTGGTGTTTAGCGTTTGGGGCTTCGGCTTCGGGGTTCAGGGCCCTTGGGCCGCGGGCTCCGTTCTGTGAGTGTCAAGGCTTGGCAGACCATGGCAGACCATGGATGGCACCTCCGGGTACGAATGCTTCATACTTACTTGTCTCACCACAGCCCCTATATCACGATATTATAAAGTATCAAGCAACACAAATCTAATGATGACGACAAACCATGCAGTGAGACAACACCGGTGCCTCACCGCAGTAACATCTTGGGGGACGCGGACAAAAGCATAAGATTGAAATACTGCGATAGCTGAGAGACAAAAGAGTAAGTTTGACCTGGCATGGACAAGACGAACTGTTAGAATAAACCTGTTCTAGCCTTTACCTTGAATCCTGCCAGCGCTAAACCTTAAATCCTCTAAACTCTAAACCCTCTAAACCTCAGGCTTGATCATTCTTGTCCGTATGCACAAGCAGTCGAACCACTGGCACACCCAATCCAATGCCATACAACATTGACGTGTGGTGCCGCGTTGTTTTGAAAGAGACGGTCCTCAAGCCAGCATGTGTAGCTTAAACCCAGGACCAGTCGGGAACCAGTCAGGTGGTTCCCCAGAACCTTATTCCTGGCCCAAAGACTTGCAAGGGTTGGACAAACACCCGTTCATCACTCTGCCTCGTTCAGGACGTGGGACATGGGCTCCATGTTCAGGTGGAAGAGCCTGAACATCGCGACTCAACCAGAAAAAAACAACAAGAATAGTCCTAGTCTGTGCACCATGAAAGAAGCCCAGTATAACTTCAGAACCACAATTCCGCAACCCTTCGTCAGACTAAGTTGTGTTGGGCTCCGTGCTTCAACTTTGGAGACGAAGAGTCGAGACTTAAGCAGTTAAGGGCTTGGGAGGGGCCCTGCAGGAAAAGGGGTCTTAATGGTTTAGAACAGGGTTGAAGGGTGTTGCAATATGGCCCAGAAAAAAGGGGGTCCTAATGGTTTAGAATAGGGTTGAAGGGCATGGGGAACCATAAAGTATGATACGATTCCTAATTGTTCAGACGCGAATTCTAGGGTCTGCGCATGTGCGTGGCCGTTTGGTTCGAGGGCACCGAGGTGTAGGTTTGCAAGACGCGGGCGGAGCCTCAGCCCCAAGCGATAGTGAGGGATCCAAAGCTGCATGATTACCGTCTCTAGGGCTTATGTAGGGCCTACTTGGAGGATCATGGGACTTAGTAAGTAAGGTTATAAGTACCTTAATTGGGGTTATATAAGTAGTTATAAGTATAGTTACCCTATTTATAACCTAGTTACTAAGTCCCATGATCCTTTCAGTAAACCCTATAGTGCTAGCGTTTAGCGCTTGGGATTTGTGGCTCAGGGTTTGGAACCTACTTGAGATTAGAACAGTCGGTGTGTCGTTTCTCCAAGCCTTAAGTAACGCTGTTGCACACACCGCTGTACCCTGTGCCACCAACTGTTCGAAGTCTAAGCCTTAAGTACTAAACCCGTAACCCTTAAGTCTTGAATCTAAACCCCCAACCCGTGAACACTGCAAGCCGCAAACCTTAAATCCTCAGCCAGGAGCCCCCTAGCCTCACCCAAAGCCCAAAGCAGCTGAAAACCGTGTCAACCCGAAACCTGAATCCTCAACCCTGAACCCTAGGGTTTAGGGTTTAGGGCCTTGAACCCTAAACCGGAACTGCCAAATGAGACCTACACCGCCTGCACCCTTCAACTTTAAACGCCCTAAACCTCAGGCCCTAAACCCCCAAGCCCTGAACCGCAAAGCTTAAGCCCCACACCCCAAGTCCTAAAGCCCCAAAACCCTAAACCCTACAACCCAAAGCCCTATAAACCCCAAATTCAGCACAAAGGCAGCTGAGAGAGATCGGAGCACTCGACGACGCCGGAGTTGTTCTTGGTTCGGGAATGCTTTAGGGGTTTTCGTGGTTTTCAACAGTTCCCGGCGCAGTTTTGCTGTTTCTGCGGCTTCGTGTTTTAGGTTGCCTGATTGGGGGTTTTGAAGGATTTCACAAGGTGTGAGGGCTTATAGGGTCCACCAACTGAAGGCAAGGAGGCTTCTAGGAACCAATGGGTTCGTGCTGAGAAAGCCAATGATGCTACCTGAATGGTAATTAGCTTGAAGAATTAATGGTTTTGGATTGAAAGTTTGAGGCATAAGGCATAAGGTTTAGTTCAGAGTGCGCCGTTTTGCGAATTCAGGGCTCCGGGCTTCAGGGCTTTCAGGGGATTGGAGCTTAGCCGCATTGAGCACAAACGTACGCGCAGAAGGACACAAGCAGAATTAGTGACATGGTGACTGCTGTGAGAGTCTGGGTGGTGGTAGCGCTGCCGGTGGCAGTAGTAGTACTCATTGTACCAGTAGCACTAGCAGCGCTTGAAGTAGTAGCCGTCGTGGTGGTGGTAGCAGAGTAGCAGAGTGTAGCAGTAGTAGCAATAGTAGCAGTGGTAGCAGTAGTGGCAGTAGTAGCAGTAGTGGCAGTAGTAGAGTGGTAGCAGTCGTAGCAGTCGTAGCAGAAGCAGAAGAACAAGTAAAAGTAGAAGTAGTAAAGTGGAAGTAGTAGCACCCCCCAAACACTTGCAGCTGTGCACACACACACAGAGCACAACTACGCGCACACAGACACTAGCAAAAGCCTAAGTGAGACCCTGGTAGGCCCCCAAACTTGAAACCCACAGCATAAATCAATCTTCTGAAATCTAAATATTCTGAGCCGTACTACAAGAAGGACCCAAACGTTACTTCTGGCTTCAACGGGGTTTCTCTTAGGTCTGGAAGTCATTACGGTTTGCCCCACACGCTATACCCCCTTTTTTATACCTGCAACGTCTATCCCCACAGCGTATGCAACATGATACCTTCATAGTCTGAAGGTTTAACCCAGACAAAAAACAGTTTGTAGTCCATTAAATTAAAACTCTGAAATTCTGAAAAGTCACAACCTGTTGAACGCCTTGTACGTAAACCCTCAAACCCCTCCTGTACAACTATTCAGAAAGAATTCAGCAAATCCACACCAAACGGCCTTGTCACAGATTCGGAAAGCCGTCGCAAACGCTAAGTTCTGCCCCTCCTCATAGGTGCGCACCTGAGACGTGCTTGATTACACTTGTTCTTAAGGACTTCTTGGCGGCCTCTTTCGGGATTCTTTGAAAGACTCTCGGGACTCTCGGGCGTTGGGATTCAAAGCTCTGAAACAAAGCTTTCTGGACTTCAGCGATTGGTGTTGGCTTACGGCTTCACTGCATGTGTGGAAAGCATTCCTCGCCAAGGTAGGACGTCCCACTCTGCTAAGGACTCGTTGGCAAACCTCTGCTACTCTGTCCTTGAGCCTTGGGTGCTTAGGCGGACGCAAAGTTGTGCATTGCAAACAAGGGTCTCCAGGGCGAAGCCCGTAAACCCAAAAGCCCAAACCCTAATCCGCCACCCAGCAGTTCTGTCGCTACAATTGGCGACAGCTTGGGGCTTAGGGGTTTAGGAGTTTAAGGGTTTATATAGGGCTTTTCCTGTTTAGGGTTTGGGGTTTAGGGTTTACGGGCCGGGGGCTGAGGCTTTCGCGCTCCGGGCTTAAGGGTGTTGTGTTTGAGATAGGATGCTTGGGGGTTCGTATGGAAGCCTCGGATGTAGTTTTCAGTGTATCTGCACTGTGCAACCGTAAATCCAAGACGCCGAACGCTCGAAACTTCTGGAGAAACTGCTGGGTTTGGGATTCGGCGCTCGATGCGGCGTTCCTAAGAGTAGGAGCCTCCGTCGAGGGTCCTTGAGGATCCAACTACCTAATGGGCGGGGGTTTACAGGATTCTGAAACTGCCAAAGAAAAGCTTGTGATTGACTGTGGAGCGTCTACAGCAGACTTAGCAGCTCAGGCACTCCAAACGCCTTTCCTACGAAATGCTCCGTCACTTGCAGTAGCATTGCCTCACAAACCTGACTCCTTAACCCGAAACTCTAAACCCTAAACCCCTAAACCCCCAAACCCTAACCCTACTAAACCCTAAGCTCTCAATCCTGGACCCTTAAGCCGACAACCTAAACCGAAACCTAAAGCCTAAAGCCTAAATACTCAACCCTAAGCCCTCAATCCTAGACCCTTAAGCCGACAATCACCCCTAAAGCCCTAAACCCCAAACCCTAAATACTCAACCCTACCAAGCTCTCTATCCTGGACCCTTGAGCCGACAACCTAAACCGAAGGCCTCAAGCGCAAACTTGAACTACCGGGCTGAGCCCCGCGGCAACTTTGATGAAATGGTCAATCTCCACCGTGTTGGAGTCCGGGGAGACCTGGGTGCTCCCAGACGTCGGATAGGGTTTAGGGAAGAATTTAGTGTTTAGGGTTTCGGGTTTAGGGTTTAGGGTTTGGGGTTTAGGGTTTGGGGTTTAGGGTTTAGTTTGTGTTTTTTAGCGGCCCTTTTCGTCTCTTCGATTCAAAAGCGGTCAGCCCAGGGTTGAGGGTTGAGGAGGGCTCCTCTGAAGGGTTCTATGAGGGTTACTATATAAGGGCTTAGTATAGTGGCTTTGACAATTCGAATACATGCTGTACTGTAGCATAGCTCTATGGACTATAACGAAATAGCCTTGGTAAATAGACCCAAATCTTCTGGGATGTTTATCGTGGGTGGGGGGAGTTGGAGGAGGAGGAGGAGGAGGAGGAGGAGGAGGAGGAGGAGGAGGAGGAGGAGGAGGAGGCTTCTGAAATTCTAAAGTTTTTACAGGCTAAAGTTTGGGGTTTCAGGCACTTGAAGACTTGCCCCTCAGCCTTTCAGGGGACTAGCAGGCAACCTGATCCCTAGGTTCTGTAGAAGCCAAGCAGCAGATTTCCAGGCGTCGTTGATCCAGCTGTCCTGGGGGCAGGTAAACCTTGCAGGCAGCATGTTGGAGGGCTTCAGGGCCTTCAGGGTTCCAGCATGAATCACAACCCCCTCAACCCTAAACCCAAAACCCTACATCCTAAATCCTAAACCCTAAACCCTACACCCTAACCCTAAACCCTAAACCATAAACCCTAAACCTAACCCTACAACACGAGACTCTCTCGGCCCCAAATCCGCTTCAAGGATCAGAAGCCAAGACACCCGAGAGCTTCGAGAGCCTTGACCATCTGGTTCCGGTGGAGCTTGTCCTGGTCCTGCAACCTGGGATACTTAGCCTTTGGGGCTTAGGTTCAGGTTGGGCAGTGAAGTTTGCAATCAGCTTGTAGCACTGTCTTGCGGTAGCACCGCTTGTTCGCGCATGTGAGCCGTTACGTGTTAAGAGTTGAGGGTCGAAGCATATCCGTCTAGTCTGAGGTAGACCCTGTACCTGGACACCTGTGTGATAGCGAATTAATGTATTTGCATAATTTTAAACCAGCTAAATCCTTTGGAGGGGGGTCCGGGAGGCGGGGGGCCCCGGCCTTACTATAGAGGCCTTAATGATTAGAACAGGATTTTGGGGGCCGTTATACTGTAAGTATTTTTAGGAAGCCCCAACATGGTCTTGGTAATTGTTGAGGAAATTTAAGGCCCTATTGAAGAAGCCAGAAAGTTGGAACATGACTTTAGGAGGATTAGTGCTAGGATCCCTTATGCTTTACCTTAAGGGCATGAGGATAATGATGTTCCAACTTTCTGGCCTCTGCTGTAAAGTACCATTAAACTGGAACTCGGACGGACCTCCACACAGCTCCTGTCCTAGTCGTCACCTATACAGTAGAAGCCAGAAAGTTGGAATATCATTATCGTAACCCCTTTAAGGTAAATTATAGGGGATCCTACCATTAATCCATATTCCAACTTTCTGGAGTTCCCTTAAGCCCCAAAGCTCAAACACCCCTGCAGCAAGTTTCCTGGTCTGGAAATTCTGCAAGAAGACCCTACTAATCCCTAAACCCTGAAACCCTTAAAGACCCTCTAACCCCAAGTCGTCGGATTCTGATGACATGATCCCCTGTTGACGGGTCGTATCAGATCCCACCCAGGTGCAAGAACTACCAGCCGTGCCCATGGGCCAATTGGAGGGGCTTGGGAAACTCCTCTTGTCAATGATGAACTTAGTTGTCAAAATTAAGGTCCCATTTGGCTGATTATTATAACACGGCACCTAATATTTAGGGTACCCCAAAAGGGGCCATAATTTTGACAACCACCCACAAGCAGGCAGCCGTTTCGAAGAACTCAAGTAAAAACCGGCTTGGCACATTCGCGCTCGAAGGGGCTGTAAACAGTTGAGCAAGGATGGAAGCACCACTGCTGCTCCCAAGCAGCCGAAAGAACACCTCCAGTTTCTCCTCGCTTCAGGTTAATCGGCACCGGTCGAGGGGTGTGGAGACCAGGAGCCCCAAATGGAGCCCTTATGGTACTTAATAGGGCATATTAAAGGGCAGTTGGGGGGTCTAAGTAGTTTGTGAGAAAACCGCTGGGAGACGTCCACAAGGGCTGTCCTTTTCTCGGGTTCTCAATGCTGCAAACATCGTAGCTCTCGAAAGTCTTGTGGGTTGCTGTACTTTGTGAACTTCCGTTTTCGTCATGCACAAGCAGAAGTCTTTAACACCCCCTGATTACATGCATCATACCTACCTAACCTCCCGACCCCGCACCTCCCTACCTCTCTACCTGCCTACCAACATATCTACAGACGCACATGTGACCATGCGTTTACATTGCAAGAACGTACATAGCATGCGTACAAAACACAACATACATAATAGACATAACATAAGTACATACGCAGGCTGTGCAACCTACATAACCTGAATAACATACATAAACATGCGCATGCATGCATGTGCGCATACAGAAATCCACGCAAGCAGACAGACAGATAGACAGACAGACAGAAAGACACAGCTACTCAGACAGACAGCCAAACGCACAGCGAGACAGTCTGACAGACTGCTTGCATCCATGCATGCTTATATTGACAGCCGTGCATGGGCACACACGGATTGACATGCATACAGACAGACATACATACATGCATGCATACATACCAGCATACATGCACACAAGCATGGAAGCAGACAAGCATACACGCATGCATGCATGCATGCATACGTAAACCCATAAATACATACATATGTACTTACATAAATGTGTGGGCACCTGCTTGCGGATGACTTTGCACCCCAGCGTGTAGCGGGGGCCAACGGGAGACTGGGGAGGATATAAACTATGTATTATATCATGGAAAACATTTAAGGTACTGAATTGCTCACATAATACATATATAAATATACTGATTGATGAGTATGATATAAATACATAGCACAAAGACATATATGTACATACATATACATATCGTATTATACATATAATGAAGCATGACACTCACGCAGACTCTTGATGCGAGCTATATTCTATGTCGAGACTAAACCCTAAACCCTCAAGCCGATGACACTCTTTCCGTGGGAAGCCCACTGGGCCTGGGTTTGGGGTTTAAGGCTTAGGGTGTAGCGTTCCTTGGATGAACTTCCAGCACATCCAAACCGCAAGCCCAACCCCCAAGCGCGGAGAAAGAAAGAGAGAGAGAAAGAGAGAGAGAGAGAGAGAGAGATGCCAAGACAAAACATCGACCTCGACCCCCAAACAACAAACGCTTCGCACCGTAAACCTCACATACCCTGCATACCCTACATCGTGCAACATTCCTTCCTAGCACCCTTTATCGGACCCCTAAACCCTAAACCTCTGAACCCTTGTGCAGAATGCGCTCTGCGCTCTGCCTGGTTTTCCGGCTCTGCCCCATAGGCTTCTGCGCCGTCGTCTGCTCCGCTATCATCGTCCTGCGCCTGGCTGGACTTGAAGGTTCCCTTTAAGACCCTATATTACATGGGCTTGATACAGGGGCTTCTTGCGTTTTTGACGGCTTCAAGCGCGTCCAGGCTCTACCTGAATTAAGTTTTAGCAACCCCATATATTGGTTCAGGAGTTACCTAAAACCTAAACCCTAAACCCTCAGCCGAGTTGATAGTTAACTTAGTTGGAGGGATGCTGTCGAGGTTCCGCACGGGGGATTCTCGAGAGGGAGCTGCTTGGAAGTTTGGCCAACCTCAATTCCAGTTGGTTTCAACAGCTAGCACAGGCGATGTTACCGTTGCTGCTATCATTCCTAGACCCCAAAGCCTACACCCACAGGCCCAAAACCCTGGCTCCCAAATACTAACGTGTCTGAGTGTCTCACCAGATCCGAGTGCTCCCGCCATCCTAATCCCTAAGACTCCAAGTATGCAAATACTACCTACTTTGGGCTCTAAAGTCTATAAATGGTATCTACTTTGGGCTGTTTGGAGCCTTAGGGAATGACAACAAGCAGTACGATGTCGCACACATCATCTTCGCTGGACAAAGGCTAACATAGGAATGAACGCTCCTTATGGTAAAGTTAGAACACCGGCACCGTGCAACACGAAGCCCAACGCACAACTCTTCAGCTTTGCAGCAGGGTTTCGGGTTCAGGTTCTATGCTCTTAGACTGTTAGCCTTAGTTTGGGAATTGGGGTTTAGGGTTTCGGGGTTTAGGGTTAGCCCAGCCAGACCTGTGGTTCCAAAGACCCTCACGGCACCAAACGCCTAGCTGAAGCCCCAGGCCAAAGAGCCGTAAAACCCAGCAGCTAGGTCCTAAACCCCTCAACTCCAGAAGTCCTCAGCCCATCCTTAGCCTCTAAGCTCCAAACACTCAACCCTCAACCCTGTAGATCCTTATTATAGAACCCTTATAGATCCCTTTAAAGGAACCCTATAGATCCTTTTAAAGGAACCCCTATAGATCCTTTTAAAGGAACCCTTATAGATCCTTTTAAAGGAACCCTTATAGATCCCTTTAAAGGAGCCGAGCCAGAGAGCCCCAAGGCCCGGAGCCGAAACCCACCCCCTGGGGCCGACCCGGCCGGGCCTCGGAGCTCGTCTCATCCTGGCAAGACTTTAGGGGTTTTTGGGGTTTAGGGTGTGTAACAGTATGCGCGTGGTGGGTGCGCCTTTTACTTTAGGAATAGGGGGCGCACCCACGAATCGCGCGCTTGCGTCAGCATGTAGTCCCGCCCCAACCACCCCAACTATTCTCAATTAGGGTTTAGGGTTCACCCCCCAAACCCCCCTCAAGGGGGGCTTTCTTGCTCTCTGCTTCCTTTCGCAGCTTGACATGTAAACAATAAAAAATCTCCAGAAATCACGACCGAAATGGATTGCTGTCGGGTTGTGGGTCCTCGCGGCCTGTGCCGGCCGCTCGACGAAAAGCAAGGGTTTCCAACAAACAACTTGGGTCTCGCGCCCTGTAAGGGCTGCTCGAAGTGTGAACAAGGCGGGGCAAGAGGGCGGGCAGGGGAGGCAGAGGGGCAGGGCGGGCAGGGCAGGCAGGGCAGGCAGGAGGCAGGCAGCAGGGCAGGGCGCAGGGCAGGCCAGGCAGAGGAGAGAGGCCAGGGCAGGGCAGGGTGGGGCAGGGTAGGGCAGGGCGGGGGGGGGCACCGCCCAGGACAGGGCAGGGGGGGGGCCCCAGACCCCTTCTGGGGGTACCCCCCCAGACCCCCCAGGCGACCCGAAAAACCACAGTGGTGCTCAATGGTCGTGGGTTTGGGGTCTATCTTTACTGCCTAACGGCAGAGAGGTCATTAGCGTATACCGGGAGGCTTTACCCTCCCTCACCGTTCTGACGGGACGCTCGGTCGGGGACCTCGGTCGAAGCCTCGAGCGCCCATGTAAATGGTCAGCGGCGCTCTCGGCAGTTTAGGGTTTAGGGTTTTGGGGTTTAGGGTTTAGGGTTTTGGGGTTTAGGGTTTAGGGTTTAGGATTTTGGGTAGGGTTTAGGGTTTTGGGTTTAGGGTTTTGGGTTAGACTACTTGAAGGCCCTGGGGACTTAGTCAGTCGGTCATAAGCTCCTTAAAGGGATCTATAGGGTTCCTTAAAGGGATCCATGGGGTTTAGGGTTTAGGGTCTACTGAGAGAGGCAGGGGACTTAGTAAGTCGGTTATAAGTAGGGTTATAATTGGGGTATCTCCATTTGGGGTACTTATGACTCTACTTATAACCGACTTACTAAGTCTTCGGGGCCTCCAAGTACTACTTGGAGGTTCAGGGGTAGTTATAAGTACGTAGGGCTCCTTTAAGGGTTTAGGGTTCCCTTAAGTGTTCTATAGGGTTTAGGGTTTAGGGATAGGGTGGCTTGGGGTTGTTTTTTTGTGGGGTTATAAGTAAGGTAACTATAATAATAACCCATATTAGGGGACTTGTAACTCCACTTGTACAACTACCCATGGACCTCCAGGTAATTTTGTTACGACTACACGTAGAATGAACGGGTTATTATCACTACCAACCGTTGCTATAAGCAGCAGGAGTCGTAGTAGCGGTGGCAGTAGTAGTAGTAGTAGTAGTAGTAGTAGTAGTAGTAGTAGTAGTAGTAGTAGTAGTAGTAGTAGTAGTAGTAGTAGTAGTAGTAATAGTAGTAGTAGTAGTAGTAGTAGTAGTAGTAGTAGTAGTAGTAGTAGTAGTAGTAGTAGTAGTAGTAGTAGTAGCAGTAGTAGTAGTAGTAGTAGTCATCGTCGTCGTCGTCGTGGTGGTGGTGGCCATTTGGAGTGTTGGCCAGCGTGGGTTCGACAATAACAGTATTGTATTTTGAACATGTTGGTTCAGTTCTGTTACACTCGCTTCTTGGCTTCCTTTCATGTGCGCTTGTATAGACGATCCTGTAACAAGCAAACTTATAAAGCCGTATTGAAAGCCATATGATGCCCAATCCAATCCCTGATCGCTACATGTAGCAGCCGGCTCGCAGAGCCTCCTCAACCCCCAAACCCCACACCCCAAACCCACAAACTCTGTTAGAGCCTGAACCCTGAAGCCTAAAACTCAAAACCCTAAACCGATAGGAAGGCAGATAGCTGGCTAGGTGGGTAACCTACGGGGTAGGTAGGTAGGTAGGTAGGTAGGTAGGTACGTAGGCAGGCAGGCAGGCAGGCAGACAGACAGACCGCGACAGAGAGAGAGAGAGAGAGTTAGAGAGATGGATAGATAGATAGAACAAACAAGCAAATTAGACAGTTTAGGGTTCAGCAGCCCTCAACACTGCTCCTGGTTGCGAGCCTGATTGGGCCCCAAACAGCCCTAAACTTTAGACCCCATATCCTCAACGCTGAACTGCAATCCCTAAACCCTCAGCCCTAAACCCTCAACCCTAAACCCCTAAACCCATAAACCCCAAACCCTCAACTGCAATCCCTAAACCCTGAACCCTGAAACCCTAAAGCCGTAAACCCCTACACTACCCTTGTAGCACCCTTGTAGAGCCCTTTAAAGGAACCCCTATAAATCCGGTGAAGCCCTAAACCCTAAACCCCAAAGCCCAGAAGCTCAAAGAGCCTGCCTCGGAGCTCCCATCCTCCTGGCAATACATGGGGGCTTCCGAAAATAGGGTTCTTTACCCCCTATACTATACATTACTATTCAGAACTCTTTTGCGGAGCTCTGAGTTGCGAGCGCTAGGTCGGAAGTAGACACTGGTCCGGGTGTCGGGACCTCCTGGGTTTAGGGTTTAGGGCTTAGGGGTCCTATAAGGGAGTTTCCGAAAACAGGGGACCCTAATCTAGTACCCTGAATAGTAGGCTCCTTATAATAAGGACCCCAAAATAAGGTACCCCTAATTTTCGGAAACTCCCACATGGGGCCATACTCAAGACCAGAGAAGTCACTTACCTTTGGTTAGTAGGGAATGGAAGAACGGTAATAGTAGTAGTCATGTTTGTACCCCATTCCTCCATTCCCTACTAACCCAAGGTAAGATCAAAGTTGCCTATCGGTTTAGGGTTTAGGGGTTCAGGGTTTCGGGCTTCGGGTTGCAACTTCGGATTCCGCTCATTTTGAACCGTCACCGAAACGTAACCATAAATAATTAAGGCTAACCATGTACCTTTCAAGCAAGGGTCCAAAGCAGCCAAGGGATCTTCCTGCAGTGCTGCCGCTGCATCAACAATCCCTAACACTCGTCCAATATTCCCGTCCCACTGTCGCCGGGTCAGTGCTTGCTGCTCGCGACTCACAACTGTCCTAAGCGCCCACATCAAAGCTCCGACGCAACCGACAGCCACTCCCTGTATCATCCCAAGGGTTACGCAGACCCGTGGAAGATGTGGCAAAACCCCTTGGCCTCACGTTGAAAGCTTTGGATTATAAGGTATGCCGCTTACGCCCCCTATGTAGCCTCAGCCGAAGCCTAGTAGGCCCCCAAAACAGTACATAAGCAAAATAACGATAGGGATATCCCACATGGGCGGTTGTCAATATTAGGGTCCGTTTTTTGGGTCCCTGTTATAATACGGCACCTATTATATAAGGTACCCAAAAAGGGACCCTAATTTTGACAACCACCCATATAAACCCCCTTATAATGGAGCCCAGAGCTCAGAGGCTTTCGAGCCTGGAGACTCGGGACACCGAGCCCCGGTTCCAGAGTGTGGAGCTTTGACTTTAAAGTTGAAGGGTGTAGGTATTTAGGGTTTAGGGTTAGGGAGTTTAAGGTTCAGGGTTGAGGGTTGAGGCTTTGGGGTTTAGGGCAAAGGAATTTAAGGTTCAGGGTTTAAGGTTAAGGCATTTAGGGTTTAGGGTTAAGGAATTTAGGGTTCAGGGTTTAGGGATGAAAACTCAAAACATCACGGCCTCTAAACCTCAAAATCCCGAACCTGTACCCCTGAACCCTAAAACCTGAACCCGAAAGCCTAGACCCAACGCCCAAAAAGATAAACCTTAACCCTAAACCCCGAACCCAAAATTAAAAATCCACAGCGCTAGCTCTAGACCCGAAGCAGTAGTCCCAAAGCACGTTTTCTGCAACTGGTGTAGACCTCGTCGTCATCCAGCTCCAGTGTGTAGTAGTACATGGAGCGCCTCTGAAGCCGGGCTCAGGGTGTGCGGTTTCGGATCCAAGGTGCAGGGTTCAGGGTTGAGGCTTTGCGGCCTCAGCCTATGACCTCATGTTTCATAGGATTTCTGTACATGTAGCAGCGTTAGCAGCACTATAGCGCACTAGTAATGGCAGCACCACCACTAGCAGCAGCAGTAGCCGTAGCAGTAGCCATAGTAGTAGGAGGATTAGGAGGACTAGTAGCAATAGTAGTAGAGGTAGTAGAGGAAGAAGTAGAAGTAGAAGTGCAAGTAGAAGTAGCATTAGCAGTAGGAGTAGGAGTGGGAGTGGGAGTAGGAGCAGGCGCAGGCAGGAGCAAGCGCCGGCGCAGGAGCAGGAGTAGGAGTGGAAGTCAGAGTAGGAGTAGAAGTAGTAGTAGAAGTAGTAGTAGAGGTAGCAGCAGTAGTAGTAGTAGTAGTAGCAGCAGAAATAGTAGTACTAGCAGTAGCAGTAGCAGTAGCAGTAGCAGCAGCAGCAGCAGCAGTAGCAGTAGCAGTAGCAGTAGCAGTAGCAGTAGCAGTAGCAGTAGCAGTAGCAGCAGTAGCAGTAGCAGTAGCAGTAGCAGTAGCAGTAGCAGTAGCAGTAGCAGCAGTAGTAGCAGTAGTAGTAGTAGTAGTAGTAGTGTAGTAGTGGTAGTATGGTAGTAGTGGGTAGTAGTGGTAGTAGTGGTAGTAGTGGTAGTAGTGGTAGTAGTGGTAGTAGTGTAGTGGTAGTAGTGGTAGTAGTGGTAGTAGTGGTAGTAGTGGTAGTAGGTGGTAGTAGTGGTAGTAGTGGTAGTGGTAGTAGGGTGGTGGTAGTAGTGGTAGTGATGGCGGTAGTAGCTGTGGTAGTGGTAGTGGTAGTGGTACTAGTAGTAGTAGTAGTAGTAGTAGTAGTAGTAGTAGTAGCAGCAGTAGCAGCTGCAGCAGCAGTAGCAGTAGCAGTCGCAGGAATAGTGGTAGTGTTGGTAGTGGCGGTGGTTGTGGCGGTTGTGGTGGTGGTCTTCTGTTGAGTTGCCGCTGTCGCTGTCGTCATCGCTTTCGCTGTTGGCTGCTCTTGCTGTTGCTCTTGCTGTTGCTGTTGCTGCTGCTGCTCCCGCTGTTGCAGCTGTTGTTGCTGCTTCGGCTTTTTGTGTTGTCGCTGTTGCGTAGTCTGTTCCGTTTGCTATTCCTGCCGCTGTAGTTGTACATCAGCAAAAGTAGCTGGTGTCGCCGTCTGGATAAGCCCCAAAGCCCTGCATCCCATACCCACTGGCCTCTTGTCGAAGTTTCGGCGAGCTTCTGTAGCAGTCGGGACAACGGGCGCCTCATCCTGCTTAGGATCAGCTTCTTGGCTTTTGGGGTTTGGGGTTTAGAGCTTTAGGCTTTAGGGGAACCACACATACTGGAACCATATCGGATCAGAACGAAAACCTTATAGAACCATCTTTCTTGCTGCAGAAGCCGCGCTAGAACCCTCCAACCCCCTTATAAAGCCTCGCAGAAGAGAAGTCGACAACAAAGTCCGCACAGCTTAGAACGGCCCACGCTGTAGACTCAAGACCCTTTCCTGAACCCTTCCTGGCTCTTTTGCCTCCTAAATCCCTACAAAAACCCTCAAACTTTAGCAACTTTAGCCGAACCTGGCGGCCCAAACTCTCCACCGTTCGCCTCATGAAAACCTAAACGGTTCAAGCCAGAAAGCACGCAGCCCTGAACGCCCCCAAATAACTAAAGACCGTGAAGCCGCAAACCCTACACCAATACAGTCGCTAAGCCCCCAACAGCCCTTCTAAAATCCTCAGCGCAAGCCTGTTCAAGCTCTGTGAAATCTACAGATATTCTTGAAACTCCCCAAGAAAAACCCTTGCCTCAGACTGAAAAGCCCTAAAGCCTTAAAAACCCCCAAGGAAGTACAGGACGGACCCCTTGCACACCCTTACAGAAATCTTACACGAACACTACCCTTCTAGACCACATCGAAAGCCCTCTGGAACCCTTCTAGAACCGCTGGCAGAACCCTGGCAGAAAATTCCTGTAAACCCTAAACCCTAAACCCCTAAACCCTTTTTTAGCACCAGTATAGAGCCCCAAACGGTAATCCACACACACTAAAAACCCTTACACCCCTAAACCCCAAACTCTAAAACGACAAACCCTAAACCCCCCAAAACCGCCAAAAGCCTAAACACCAAAAACCACCCAAAACCCTAAACACCAAGCCCTTAAAATAACCCTAAACCCTGAACCTTAAACCCTAGAATCCTAACAGACACGCAAAGCCCCAATCAATCCTCTGCTGCTTCTACAGGAGAGCTTCGGCCCTTCGCCTCGACAGCCCCAACTTCAGGGGTTTGTAAAGGGATCTATAGGGGTTCCCTTAAAGGGATCTACAGGGATTCCGTTTTAAGGGATCCAAAAGTAAGGGTTCTCAAAGGGATCTACAGGGTTTCGGATTTCTGGATTAGGGGTTTTGGGGTTTCAGGGTTTAGGGTTTAGGGGTTCGGGTTTAGGATCTCAGGACTTGGGATATGTGATTCAGGATTTCAGGGTTTCGGATTTAGGGGTTTTGGGTTTAGGATGTCAGGGATTGGGGTTTAGGATTTAAGGATCTAGTAGGGTTTAGGGTTTAGGTGTAGGATCTTATAAATCTTTTAGGAGGGAGCGCTTTCCCGTCTGACAGCCTAAAACCCGTCTGGAGGTTCTGGGCTTGGCTTTGGGGCTGTCAGTGAAGGGGCACACCGGTGCTAAAAGCAATCAGGCGTGCGCGCCCTGAGCTGTACGTCCCCACTCCACCTTATCCTCCAGCTTTTGCAGGTTTAGGCTGAATTACTTGGAGAGTCATGGGACTTAGTCAGTAGGGTTATAAGTACCTTAATTGGGGTTATAAGTAGTTATAAGTATAGTTACCCTAATTATAACCCTAGTTACTAGGTCCCATGATCCTTTAAGCAAGGTTGCTGACCGCGCTTTGGCTCTCCTGGTTGGCGCAAGCCCCGGAGGCTGCCGTCGCACACAGATCAAGATGCTCCTCTTCGGTTTTTGCTTGCACCGGAAACTCTGTGCTCTCTTTATTGCAGCGGGGGGGCGGGACAGATAAATCCTAACGCCGCAGAATCTTCAAAGCACAAGACCCTGAAAACCCCCGAAGCCCCGAAATCATGAAACCCTGAGACCCGAGCATCCAGATTGCGTACCTTTCACAGCCCGGACTCCTTCTGGAACGGAGCCCGATTGCCCGCTAAACATCCCTAACCCTGAGGGTCCAAAGGACCCAATGATTCGGTACTTAGGTTAAGGATAGTAGTTATGCAAGTTACCATCTGGGAGAGTATGAGATAATTAGGCACTGAGACCATGAGGGTAATAGAGGGTCCATAAAAAGTGAAATGATGTGTGACGCATTTTTACAGAATAGGCTTCTGGATGAAACGGCATATCAATACTAAGCACCAGACCCCTACATTACACCCTACGCAATGCACGCCTATATGCATAAAACCTAAAGGTTGAAGCCTGGATCCCAGTGCCGAACATCCCCAAGGCATGATTGAAGCTTAAACCCTCGAAGCCCTCAAACCAAGGATAAGGGTTTAGGGTTTAGGGGTTTAGGGTTTAGGGGTTTAGGGTTTAGGGTTTAGGGCTTTAGGGTTTAGGGTTTAGGGCTTTAGGGTTTTAGGGTTCAAGAGCTCAAGAGCCCAACCCCTCAATCAAACCCCTAACCCCCGAGCTGACGTATTCCTCTCCAAACACTCTAGGCGCTGTGTAAAGCCCTGTTACCACAGGTTACTTAAAGGATCATGGGACTTAGTAACTAGGGTTATAATTAGGGTAACTATACTTATACTTATAACTACTTACAACCCCAATTAAGGTACTTAGAACCTCATATGATGTGCTATTGACACTCCCAAAGCCTGGAACCCCGCATTTTACCGTAAACCCCTACACCTTGAACCCAAAAGCCCCACCACCCCTAAACTCCCTAAACCCCTAAACCGCACTACCTCCTACAGTATCGACGGAAGCTCACAGAAATCCGAGGCAGAGGCCTCCCCGGGCGGGTTGTAGGAAGGCTTCCTGTTTGACAAAATGTAGGGTTTAGGGTTCAGGTTTGTTTTGGGGGTTTAGGGTTAAGGACTTGTTTTGGAGGGCTTAGTGTTTTCTATTAGGATATAGGGAAAAGACTAGATCCCAAACAGTGGCAAACACCTAGCAGCCCATTCACGATTGTCGAAAAATCGCATGTCACCTCCTTTCAACACATATGTATGCGTCTGCCCGTGTAAGACCATGCTGCATGCCTTGGCAAAGAGACATTCTTGCAAAAACAGACATACCTGCGTCTGTCTATGTCTGCGTGATGGCGTGCTTGTGTGTATGTACGTATGTGTGTTTTCTTGTTTGGTCGGTTGGTTGGTTGGGTGGTTGGCTGGCTGAGTATGTATCGGTCTATTGGTGTGTTTGTACGCATGCACGTATGTACATAGGCATGTAAGGATGTGTACAAGTAAAACTTCATGACTGAGTAGCGCAACATACGTATGTATGTATGTACGTATGTATGTAAGTATGCGTGTGTCTACAAGCATGTATGCAAGCCCCTGGGCATGCATGTATGTATCTTCGCATGTGTGCATGAATGAGTCTGTGCATGTATATCAGTATGCATGTATGTGCATGTATGCATGTGCGTAAGTACGGTTGTTCGCTTGCTTGTACGCATGCATGCATGCATGCATGCATGTATGCATGTATGCATGCTTGGTTGATTGAAAGTAGTTTGGAGGCATGTGAGTGTGTATTTACTCATGTATGTATGTACGCATGCATGCATGCATGCATGCATGCTCGTATGCACTGTACTAAGCTGTAGGGTGATCTAGTGCAGTGGATGTAATGTACTAATTACACTGTCTTGTACTTTACATCGTGCTGAACCGTGTTGCAATTTACGTAGTGTATCGCACTGCTCCGAAATATGTTGTTTTGCAATGCGTTGGACTATACTGTACTGCATTGCACCGTACTGCGTGTAGCGTTCTGCAGCGTACTATTTTGCACTATGGGCACTGCATTGCAGTGCAATGAACTGCAATGCAGAGTAATGTAAGCTGATATCATTTAAGTACATGTCTTGTAATGTCATGTAATGAAATGCATGGAATTTAACGGAATGTGAAGCAATGTAATGACATGTGAGAACCGACCATGCATTGTCATCTACCGCCATGGTACGTGATGCACTGTAACGCGAGGTAATGCAAGGCCGTGTGCGTAATGTCATGAAACACCGTGCAATGCCATGCCATGTCATGCAATGAAATGTACCACCATGTGATACAAGGCGATGTCATGCAATGTCATATACCGTCGTGTAATGTCAAGTGCTGTCACGTAAAGTCACGGGAGGCCATAACATGTCCTGTAAAGTGATGCAACGGCACCGCAGCACACTGATATGGAATGCAATGTATCGACGTTATGAGAACCGACAAGATACACTGCGATGTGGCGCATTGCAGTGTAGTAGTGTCATGTAGTGCCGAGTAGCGACATGTAGTGTCATGTAGTGTAACGTTGTGTAACGTACGAGTAATGTATTGTATTGTAGTGTAAAGCAGTGATGAGTATTGCACATATGTATGCACATGCATCGGCTGCTGCATTGCTTACACTTGTAGTGATATCAAGCTTGTATATCCAACTATCTAGTCTCTCTGTAATTCCCTAAACGAACCCTATAAACCGTTCATGATTAACCCGGAGGTTGCGGTCCTGCTCATGCGATCCAGGGCCCGCGACCTCGGATGCCACGCACAGCTACCGTGGGTCACTGGGAGCTACCGGTTGAGGGCTGTGATGGGCCGAGGCCCCAGGAAGATGCGCTGTTGATTTCCACAGTTATCTCAGGAGACCTTGCTGACGTGGTTGCGATGATGATGATGATCGTGATGGTGATGACGGTGACGATGATGACTATGATGGTGGTGAGTGTGATGAGCTTTCGTCCGTGCATTTCGGGGCATGTCGCACACCAGATTTGCCAGTCGGCTGCACGCAAAAGAGGGGCTAATCGTCGTTCTGGGCTTCTTGACACTGCGCAGAGTGCACGCCGATGGTGCCAAGTAGGAGAGAGGGAGCTGGAGCCGCAAAGGCCGAAAGACCCTGCAGAAGGCCGACAAAGACCCATCCCCCTAAACCCATACCCATGCATACACATGGAAGTAGACTCGTGTCACACACGGCCGAAATCATGTATGATGTATTGGCTGACCCAAAACAAAATAAGTTCAACCTTTTCTGGTCCGGAGTTTTCGGATCTCTGCGATCCAGAGCTCAGCTTGGACTAATCCAGTTGCCCGACACCGACGCTAATAAGCGATCGTAAACTAAGGCATGTTGAAAACAATGCACTTGGTGACAGCCGACTAGGTAGACACAACAACAATTAGCAAAACGCTAAAACGACTCAGGAAAATGACATGAAGCCACTCGACTACGACCGGCAAAAATTGGACACAGTCCATGACCTAAACCATAGCATAAGCCCAAGGAACAGACTTAAAACCACACCCTAAGCCCCAAACAACACCAAATTAAGGGCCTAAACAATGTAAAAACAGGGTGTAGAGACATGCTATCGAATCCTTGCTTAGGGACTGTGAGGCCATATTAATACACTAACAGTACGTATTCGGACCCCTGTCTTAAGTTTAAGCTTTAGGGGGCTATGGTTCCAAATTTTGGGAGTGCCTAAACTTCAATCCAAAACCCTAACTAAACCTCGAAACCCTAAACCTCAACACCCTGAGCCTTAAACTTCTGAAGCCCTACCCTCCAAACCTCTCAACCCCAAACCCCTAAGCCTCTAAACTCCTAAACCTCTAAACTTTCCTAAACCCGTAGCCCTCTAAACCTCTAAAACACTAAACCTTAAACCCCTTACTAACCCTCTAAACTTCTGGAACACTAAACCCTAAAGCCCTTACCCTCTGAACCTCTGCAAGACTAAACCCTAAACCCCTAATCTAACCCTAAACCCTCTGAACCTCTAAAACGTTAAGCCCTAAACCCTAAACCCTAACCTAACCCCAAACCCTTAACCCTAATCTAACCCTAGACCCTAAACTCTGGACCCCTAACCCTCTGAACCTCTAAAGCATTTAACCCTGAACCCTAAACTCTAATCTAACCCTAAACCCTAAACCCCCTAAACCCGAAACCCTAGATCCCAAACCCTCCGAACCTCTAAAACGTTAAACCCTAAACCCCTTAATCCTAAGCCCTACACCCCCTAAAGCCCCTAAACCCCCTTTAGCCCTAGACCCCAAGCCCTTAACCCTAAACCCTAAACCCCTACTCTAACCCTAAGCTCTAACCCTAAACCCCTTAACCCTAAACCCCTAAGCCCTAGACCCCAAGCCCCTGAAGCCACCCGGGACCCCGGGCGGAGGTCGCGCGAAGCGACTTAAGGGGCCGGAGTTCTCTGGGCTGGCCCTGGGTGAGGGTTAAAGGGTTCCTTTACAGGGTTCCTTAAAGGGTTTAAAGGGTTCCTTAAAGGGTTTAAAGAGTTCCTTTAAAGGGTGTCTTTAAAGGGTTCCTTAAAGGGTTTCTTTGAGGGGTTCCTTTAAGGGTTTAAGGGGTTCCTTTAAGGGTGTCTTTAAGGGGTTCCTTAAAGGGTTTAAAGGGTTCCTTAAAGGGTTTAAAGAGTTCCTTTAAGGGTGTCTTTAAGGGGTTCCTTAAAGGGTTTAAAGGGTTCCTTAAAGGGTTTAAGGGGTTCCTTTAAGGGTGTCTTTAAGGGGTTCCTTAAAGGGTTTAAAGGGTTCCTTAAAGGGTTTAAAGAGTTCCTTTAAGGGTGTCTTTAAGGGGTTCCTTAAAGGGCTTAAAGGGTTCCTTAAAGGGTTTAAAGAGTTCCTTTAAGGGTGTCTTTAAGGGGTTCCTTAAAGGGTTTAAAGGGTTCCTTAAAGGGTTTAAAGAGTTCCTTTAAGGGTGTCTTTAAGGGGTTCCTTAAAGGGCTTAAAGGGTTCCCTTAAGGGTTTCTTTAAGGGTTTCCTTGAAGGGTTCTTTTAAGGGTTGCTACAACGGTTGCTATAAGTTCCTTGTTGGGTTCCTTAAAGGGTTACTCAAGGGTTCCCATAAATTCCTTATAGGGTTCCTTTAAGGGTTACTATAAGGGTTCCCCTAAAGGTTCCTTTCAAAGGTTTCTTTAAGGGTTGAGGGTTTAAGGTCATAGGGTTGAGGTTTAGGGTTTAAGGGCTCAAGGTCATAGGGTTGAGGGTTTAAGGTTTAGAGCTTCAGGGTTTGGAGCTTCACTAGGATACCCAGTAACCTAAGAATAAAAAGGCCTCTCTTTTTGGTATTGGGTAACTTTATAAGGAACCTAGGACTACAAAAAGGGAATAAGGGTACTACTGGGCATCCTAGTTCAGGTTTAGGGCCAGGGCTGAGCCTCCTGCGGCTTCGTGCTGTCTTTGCCTCTGTCGACAAAAGGCTCCATCTGGAGCTTTTTTTGTTAGGCCGCCAGCTTTTCCTGCTGGTCCCTTAACTTCCCTAAAACCCTAAATCCCCACCCCCCCCCGCTCCCCCCTCCCCCCCTCAAAAAGAAACAAGCTAACAAACAGGGACGCGCGGCTCTTCTTCCTCCTCCGATTCCCGGGCCGATGCAGAGCTCGTGGTCAGAAGCCTGGCGTTCTTCGGATTCGCTGCTTTAGGGCCTTGGGGTTTGGGGGCTTTCGGGCTTTGGGGTTTTCGGGCTTATAGGGTTTAGGGTGTGTATACGGTGTGCTGATCTTCGTGCAGGTAGTTCTCGTCGGATTCCTCTGTACTTGCGGCTGTGTGCCTCGATGATGCTTTGCACCTCCTCTGCGATGTCACTGTCCTAAACCCTAAACCCTAAACCCCAGACCCTAAACCGTTGAATTTCTCTGCAAGGCTAAATCTTCTGGATTGCTCAAGTCTGGGCCCAGACTTGCCTGGTTACGGGGGGTTGGAAAGACAAGGGTTGAGGAGCTGACAGCCTCTGAGGGATGTGAGCCCAAACAACCAGGCCCTGCAGTGTGAAATCATAAGGCCCGACACCCATCCTAACACATCGGCGCCGAAACTACATCCTCACTCTCAACCCTAAAGCCCCCAAACGCCCCAAACCAAAAGACCCTCTAGGCCCCATAGAGCCTGAGAAGCACCCCAACGATTGTTTCTTGCGGCTGCAGGTCTTCGGCTTGGATTCCGGTTCAACGATGACTTACTTGCCGAGCCAAGGGCCTACAGAGGTTGACCTTGGAGATTGTATGGGGCTGATAGTTACGAAGAATGTTACGTACTCTACCCGGAGGATCATGGGACTTTGTAAGTAAGGCTTTCTGTGCCTTCAGTGTGGTCATGCGTAATTACAAGTACACTTACCTCACTGGTAGCGTTACTTACTTCGTCCCATGATCTATTATGTACCCCTACACCCTTATAGTAACCCTTAAAGGAACCTTTTAAGGCACCCTAGCTACTAAGATGAGCCTGCTGCTTCAGGGATTTGGAGTCGAGAGCTCCACGCTTCGGGAGTTTGGGATATGGGGGGGTGCTTAGGATGTGCTTCCCGGGAGGGTGAGATTTGGAGGGTTCTAAATGAGGGATGATGGTGAGGATGAGAATGAGGATGAAGATGAGGAGGAGGAGGAGGAGGAGGAGCATGAGCATGAGCATGAGCATGAGCATGAACATGAGCATGAGCATGAGCATGAGCATGAGGATGAGGATGAGCATCAGGATAATGAAGATAGTAGATGCTGGTGATGATGCTGACGGCGAAGGCTACCGTACCGGTGAAGGTGTTAAGGTGTTGGTGCTGACAGCCAGATACCAGTAGCGCAAACCTTCAAGCACGCCGACAGTGACGGACTGCTGTAGAGGGTTCCGCGGCTCCTCTCCACAGGCGGACCCATGTCACTGCCCTGCTCCTGGACGCTGCGAGTCATTTTGCTCTGCTTAGCAGTCTTTCTAAGACTACGACTTCGGCTCCTGACATGGATGCTACTTGGAGGATCATGGGACTTAGTAAGTAAGGTTATAAGTACCCTAATTGGGGTTATAAGTAGTTATAAGTATAGTTACACTAATTATAACCCTAGTTACTAAGTCCCATGATCCTTTAAGTAGAGTTGGAGGCCTTTCGGCTTTCTGGGTGCTTGAGTCGGTGCTGCGGTCTGGGGGTTTGCAATTGCAGGGATGGTTGTTGGTACAAGGCGCTGAACGCACTCCACAGCCCTGAGCTAAAAGCGTTCATAAACCAAATACGAGTTGGACCAACTGTTCTTTCCATACCGCAGAGTTCAATGACTGGATTCCTACGTGTCCACAAAGCACAGAGCCCAGCCCAGCCTTGAAACGAATGCAAAAACCACCTCAAGCCTCTATCCTGACACGGGCTTTCAACATGAGATGCGCATGTGAATCTAACAAACCCAAAGAGTCCATACACTTCACCTCCAACCCTTGAGCCCTGAACCACAGAATAAGAACCACCTCGGGCCGAGGGGATCGAATCCAGACAGAGAGCACACCCACTTTCCCATGAAACCAAGACTAAACGCCAATATAAAGCCTCAAACCAAAGAGCGATGAAGTGCCCCATATACTCCCCGCGACAGCCCGACCTTGGGAAAGGGGGACTTCGTGAATAGACTGTGAAAACCCCCAAACTCAATACCAAACCTACTCGTAGCCCCATGTACGGTGGAGCAGACCCCAAGGAACACTGCTCCAAACATTATTCTTCTTCTCTGCTTATTATTTTTACTCTTATTATTCTTATTGCTATATTGCAACTATTAGTAATTAGTAGCATTATTACTAGCAGTTTTACAATTATTAAGGCTCCTAAACCACAAACCTCAAAACCGCAGGCCCCGACAAGGCCTGGGAGGATCGCCTGCTGCTGCGGGCGGAGCCAGAGCGGATGATCTGCGGAAGTTTCGGTTTAGGGTTCAGCCTGAGTTCGTGAGTTTGCGGTTCCAAAGCTCTCAAACTCAAACAACAACCACCCTATCCCTAAGGCACCAAAGCCTTGCTGACAAAACCCTGAAACCTCAAAGCATAAGATCTCCAGAATCCTAAACTTTGAAAGAAATGATAATAGTATTAATAGTAGTACTAATGCTAATACCAGTACAGAACCCCGAACCCTGAACCACTCGATCCCTGAGCAAAATCTACAGAATCTACAGATGCCTCAACAAACGTGCCACAAGCCAAACATCAGAACCTCATAGCTTCCTAGGTTTGGGATTTAGGTTAAACCCTACGTAAGCCCGAAACCCTTTTTGTATTCTTGTAAACCCTGAACCCTAAACCCAAATGCCCCCTCAAGCACGTAGAACCCTATATAGACCTGCACTGGAGATGTCGCTTCATGGTCAGAAGGCGAATGGGCAGCCAAAGTGCCCTCCTCCGCTCCCTGCGCCTCGTCGCACAGAGGTTCCTATAGAACTACTTCGAGGCTATTGTACTCTTTTAATCTGATCCTTTCTTGAACACTACATCCGCACAGTGGCACGAGGGTTGGAGCTTGCGTTTTCGGCACTCCCGACGGAAATCAGTGCATCCACCCCCAATGGCCCAAAAGGCCAAAACAGTCAACTTTAACACGGTGAAAAAAAGTTGCAGGAACCCCAAACCGCGAACCGAGTGTTGGGGTGCAGGCTCGACAACTCGAAATTTAAGGGTTCAGTTTATGGCTTAAGGATTTGGGGTATAGCGCCACAGTTTTCCAAAATCTAAGTTCGCTGGGATCGGGGCCTAGACCCCAAACCCCGAACCTGAAGACCCTGAACCCTAAACCCCAAACCCCCGAAACCTGCAGACCCTGAACCCTAAACCCCTATAGACCCCGAAACCTATAAGCTCTACATCCCTAACCTCTGCTAGTTTAAACCCTAAATCCCAAGCCCTAAACACTGGAGTCGAATGCAGAAAGCTCCGTGCTTCTGGGGATTTCACGTAGAAGGAGCCTAGTGTCCGTGCCGAATCCCTGACAAGGTTTAAGCTTAGCGTTTGGGGGATTAGATGTTTGAGGGTTTAGGGGTTAAGCGGGGTCTAGGGATTTAGGGGCTGGAGGAGGTCGATTTTGAACAAAAACTGTGGCTTCCGTATTGCAGCACCTCAAACTTTAAAGCCAAGCTCCGTAAAAGTATGTAGTATTTGGAGATCTGCTGTGCTGCGGCTGTGTACTAACGGCCCTGCAGACATCACACGGGCAAACAGACAAACAACTCTAAACTACCCCTACATGCGCCAAAACTCCTAAACCCCCTAAAACTCCCTAATACACCTAAACTCTAAAACCTAAACCGCTATGTCGGGGTTTGGAGCCTAGTTTAGGGTTTGGGGGTTTAGGGTTCAAGACATCCCCCGAAATATGCCCGCCTTCAGGAACGCATGGCGTCGGTACACCTGCCAAACATGCTGCCGAAAGCTAGAGAATCGACCTACCCATTTGGCGTCAGGATTAAGGGTCCTTGAATGAAGGATGTTGAGAATCAGCAACAGTCCATATTGGGGGAGGTTCTTTCAATTCGACTCGCAGTCTTGAACGGTCAAGATACATGCTCCAAGTGCCACGGCCAGTGCCGAATCGCCCGAACTTATATGGACCCTCACTCAAGGGAACATGGGACTCAGTAACTACAATTCAACTTTACTCGTATTTACTTATAACCCCCCCGTAAAGGTACTTACAACTTGGCTTACTCAGTCCCATGATCCTCCAGTAAGTAGGCCCTAACCACAAAACCAAAGATCCAAAGCCCTCCAGCCCGAAGACCCTGCAGGCTGAATCCCAAATCTTAACCTGTGAACCCGATGATACATCCCAATAGACCCTAAACACTGAACCCTATACACCCGAAACCGTAAAAACGCTAAACCGTACATCCTAAACCTTAAAAACTAAACCCTACACCCGTTTTGCCCTAAACCCTAAACCCCAAACCCTAAACCTTAAACCCTAAACCCAAAGCCCTAAGCCAATTTCAGGGCTCCGCCCGGGGCTGGGCCTGCCGGGCCCACTCGCTTTCCGGCAGCGCAGGCTGCGGCTTCGTGCGCTGCTGCTTGAGCATCGACCATGTCCTCGCTCAAAGGGTAAAAGGAGGGACCCCTAGGTATATACCCATAATATAGCCCATTATAGGGTAGGGCTCCCAATTAAGGGTCCCTCCTTGTCCCCTTTGACTCGCATCATCAAGATCTTTAGTGGTATAGGGTTTAGGGTTGGGTAAACTTAAACAAGGGTTTAGGGTTTAAGAGCATGGGCTTTCGGGTTGAAGGTTGAGGGTTCAGAATCGCGAAGGTTCAGGTATCAGCGTTTGCGGAATTGGGGTTTGTGGCCTAACACTCAAAGGGGCTTTAGGGCTTGGGATCCTAGAGTTTTAGAGGTTCAGGGCTCTCCTCGGCCCTGGAAGAGGATTCATATATGGATTGTCCGACACAAGACATGAGCTTGCTTTCCGACTGCAGCATGATCAGGTTGACTTGCCTTTGGTTAGTAGGGAATGGAGGAATGGGGTATAATTATAGCTACTATTACTACCATTCTTCCATTCCCTACTAACCAATGGTAAGTTCAAAAGCATAGGAGCCTTCGATTATGCATCAGCAGAAAAGGATAGCGAGCAGACGAGCTCTTGTCGGCTTATGGCCTGGGGTCGCTTCGTTTGGTTCCCAGGTGCTTGTTGTCTACCTTTGCCCAAGTTGCGAAAATCGCAGCGTCAGGGGTTTTGATAGCTTCCTCAGCTGTTAAGAGCTATATGAGCCTCTAAACCCATGCCACAAGGTCAATGAAAAAGCAACCGTTGTGGAACAATGTCTCAAAGAGCCCGGTTCGAGGGACCTGACTGTTTCGTTCCAGCTTGATGGGAAGATAGACCCACAACACAGCAACAATGCATGTCCTGTATGCTGTGACTAAAGGATCATGGGACTTAATAACCAGGGTTATAGCCGAGGCATGGTTTTATGATGAATTATAACCGCAGTTAACGTACTTGAAACCTTACTTCCTTAGTCCCAGGATCCCCCAAGAGTCCCGAAACCCGAATCTCCAAACCCCAAACCCCCGCAAGGACCCTAATATGGGGGCCTCAGCAATTAGAATAGGGTTTTGAGGCCCCTATAATAATAATTCTCATCATCATCATAATCATAATAATAATAATAACAATAAGAATAACAATAATAATAACAATAATAATAATATTGAGAATGAGGGAACCCCCAAAATAGTATTGGTAATTATTCAGGCCCCTATATTAAATCATAAAGCTGTAAAACCTCGAGGACCCCACTGCAACTCTACACCTGCATAATATGTGGCATAGGACACATAACATTTAGTGTACCGTATGTAGTATACAGTATATAACATAGTATACAAGAGACAGAGAGAGACAGAGAGAGACAGAGAGAGACAGAGAGAGAGAGAGACAGAGAGAGAGAGAGAGAGGGAGAGAGAGAGAGAGAGAGAGAGGGAGAGAGAGGGAGAGAGAGGGAGAGAGAGAGAGAGAAAGAGATATATATATATATATACATATACTAATACGAATACTAAGATACAGTATATAACATGGTATATACTATCGTATACAACATATGTATATATATATATATATATATATATGTATAATTAATAAGATGATATGTGCCAAGAGTGAGGTCCTCGACGCGGCTGAGCGCGCGGGCGGGCGAAGCTTCTTGCCGGTGGACTTCAGGGCATCAAGGCTGCTCCAGTGTGCTTTAGGGTTTCGGGGTTTAGGGTTTAGGGCTTAGGGGTTTAGGGTTTAGGGGTTTAGGGTTTAGACGTTTAGGGTTGAAGAGTTTAGGGTTTCGGGTTTATGTGTTTTTGGGGGCGGTTGAAATGATGCTCTTCAGGGCTGAGCGATACTTTCAAACTGCACGGCACCAGTTGCCCGAACAAGTTTTCCGAGTAGAGGGGGCCATGATTTCAAGAAACACTGAAGCTTATGTCAGGGTTCAGGCTTCCGGGTTTGGGGTTTTGGTTTAGGTAGAATGCGACCTGCAACGAAATCCCCCAGGAAAACCGCTGGGGGGGAGGGGCAGGCCCTTAAGGCCCGCCGCGTGAAGCTGCGGTTTTAGTAAACCCGGGAGCCCAAAACCCCGCAATTCAAGCGGCAGTCCTTCACTCATAATGTAGGAACCTGATTAAGAAACACCGGGCCTTTCTTGGGGTTCCTTTTCTGAATCCTACTGGATTGGGGGTTTTAAGCCCAGGGTTTCTTAATCAGGTTCCTGCATTAAGGGGTTTTTTTCATCAGCTACAGAGAATGTCGCCTCGTCTTGAAGGGCATGTTCGGTTGTGGGTGGAAACGGCTCTGTGCTGCATGACTCCTGCAGCTCCTAAGTGTTCCCCGTACGACTGGCACTCACCGAAGACCCAGACCTTCCAAAATCCCTTAATTGAGGAATATACCTTAAATTATAGTGGGATCCCTAATATGATTTAAGGTATATTCCTTAATTAACGGAGTTTGGAAGGTCTGGGGAGTTTCCTGAAGGTGCCTTGGGAATCTGTGGCTGCACCGCTCATCGTGGTTTTGAGCCACCCTGCCCCGAAAGGGCAGACCGCTCTGGCCAAATTAAGCCTGACCAAAAGCCGCCGAGACTTGACCCAGGACAGGGTGTCATAAAATTTGAGCATAGTTTCTTTGAAAACCCTTTTTTAAAAAAACTAAAACCTATGGTGTTTTAAGAAACGGGTGTGAGCTCGAGCAGGAAGAAAGGCTCATCCCGAGATTGGTCCGGCCAGTGTCCTTTCCCGCGAAGGCCTATGGAGGCCAAATAAACAAGGACACACCCTGACACCACTTGGGGGATCATGGGACTTAGTAAGTAAGGTTATAAGTACCTTTATAAGTACTTAAAATTATAGTCACCCTAATTATAACCCTAGCTACTAAGTCCCATGATCCTTTCAGTAGTAACCTGCAAGCTCTGCCTGACTGGATGGATGTTGCGAAACGCCAGACCCCCCCTTCGCGAGAGCGGACCGTCACACAAGGGAAAGCCCAACACCTCGTACCAGACCCGAAACAAACGTCAAGATGCTCAAGGAAGAAACCCGCCTGCGCCATCCCCTGACCTGCCCTAAGGGTCCATGTACCTAAAACGTTTATACATTGGCCTTAATGTAGTCCCGTTTTAGGTACATTGGGGCCAAAGTGTATACTATTTGGGTACATGGACCCTTAGGGCTGTCCAAAATCCCTAAACCCACCCCGTATATACCCAAAGCCCTAAGCCCTGAACCCTGAAACCTCGCCCCTGCCTTCAGCGTCGTCGCTGTCCAGGTCCAACGCTGGGTTCGCACCAAGGGCGGCAGGCCCTGGGAGATGTCTAGACATGCCCAAAACCCCTTGATTCAGGGATATTATAGACTGGCAGCCAGTCGAGCTTGAAAGTTCGGGAGGTAGAGAGATTGAAAGTTTGAAAGTTTCGAGTTTGAAGTTTGACGCCGCCTAGCTTGTGCATACCAAGGTGCACAAACTTTCGAACTCCAGCACTTTTCGAACCTTCAAACCTTCAAAGATTAACAATTTCAAACTTCAACCTCCAAACGTTCAAGCCTTCGAGTTCGAACGACCTCGCTCGGGACACCATTCTATGCTATGGGGCCCATTGTATGCCCAGCAAGAACCGAGCCTTCGTTCAAGAGGTTCCTGTAGTACATAGTCTGCGACCCGACCTACTGTAGGGCTCTGAATCATTAGTAACAGTATACAATATAGTTCTCATTATCAAGGCCCCATATGAATCCTGTTAAGCCCGAGTAACCTTGCGAAAACCCTGTTCCGGTTATCAAGGCCCGCATATCAGACAACCGTTGTAGAACCCTTATGACTTATGAAACCCTCAAACCCATTAACGAACCCTCAAAAAGAACGCGATTCCAGCTAGTACGGGGCCCCAAACTTATAAGCCCCAAAGCTCCACACAAGCTGAAGCCATACCACCTTGAATTCACCCTGAACCAACAAATCTTCCAGTTTCAGGGTCCAACATAGTTCCGAAATTCAGGCTGCTGAGTTCAAGGCCGGATCCTTGCATCCTCAATGACAAACCCACCAAAAAAAAAACCTATTCCCTAAGCCTCCACAGATTAGGGTTTCGGGTTTAGGGGCTCCCAGTCGTTACTCCTTTCGTTGCGCTCGAGGGTACAAAAACCCTGCAACCCGCGTGCCTCCGTCTGCGCGGTCTCCCTCTGCGCCGTCTCCCTCTGCGTCAAACTCATCTCCTCGCTTTGAACGAACTCGCGACGTCTTTTCGAGGTTCGTTATAAGCTCAGATAAGCTACAACCCTAAGCACCTAAATCATCCTAAATCCGAAATCAGAAGGCCAGAACCTGCAACCTGAAACCTAAAACCCTGCGAAACCTTATCCTGTGTCGGCCGTGGCCCAAAGCCTTATGTCGTTTACTGTTTACGACCTTCTCAAGAAGCCTCCGAGTTTGAAAAGACTTATGTGGCAACTGGGCTTTCTATACCCCCTTAGAACCATAAAACACTAAGAAGAGTTCTCATGTACTATGAACAGCAAAAAGAAACAAGATTCCTGAGGAGACTATAGTGCCTCCGAGCTCAAAAGGATCCAGAAATTCGAACCTGGGATCGGCTGTACCCCGAAGCCTGAGCGACTTATGAGTGCCTGGCAGGCATCTTTCAGATTCCAGCTTTCCCCAGATCCTGCACCCTAAACCCTACACCCTAAACCCGAAAACCCCTAAACCCGAAAACCCTAAACAAAAGACCGCCAGCTATACCCTTCCGAGTCGACCTCCGCGGGCTGAGGGCTCCTGTAGGTCCCTATAAAGGATCGTTTAAAGGATCCCTGAGAGGAGCCCTTCTGGCAGCCCGTAAAGGAGCCCATTGAGGTTACTGCGCTAGCAGAGTTCCTAGTACTTAAAAGGATCATGGGACTTAGTAGGGTTATAATTAGGGTAACTATACTTATAACTACTTTTTACCCTAATTAAGGTTCTTATAACCTTACTTACTAAGTCCCATGATCCTCCAAGTATTCTTGGATTTGCTTTGAGGAACAAGGCCATCATTCTCGGCTATATCATTGTAGCATCATAGACAGCTGACCCGAGCTTAGGCGCGGACCCTGCGAACCCTAGAGCAGCAACCCTACCCAAAACGCTAAAAACCCTGACAAAGCCTCATGCGGTATCAGTATGGCAGCTGCGCTCGATAACGGAACCCTAAACCCTAAACCCTACGTAGGGGCCTGAACAGTCGTGAACAGGCGTATGGAAAAAAAGAGTAGAGCAGTTATGGGCTGAACAGTAACATGTAGAAAGAATAAAAGGAGACACGGAATTGTACGGATACGACTGCTAAATTTTCAGATATGCCTCTCTATTACTACATCCCTACGATTTTAAAGGCTGTGGCTTCACAGAGTGGCCGGCCTTCTACTGCTGCAGTCGTAACTGCCAGCGTTAGTAGCTTACCCCTGCCCGCACCTCTTCTGCTGCTGCTGGCGCCACCACCACCACCTCCTCACGACTGCTACTCTTGCTGCTGCTGCCGCCGCAACTGCTACCACTAGTTCACTACACTCTTTGCTACTCCCGGTACTAGCACTGTAACTCGACTTCTCCGACTATTGTGGCTTTAGGTAACAAACTCTGGCATTTCAGCCACGGGTCCCATAAAGACCAAGTCAAGTCCTGCAATCGGAAGCAGGAAACTCCAAACGCGAAATACAGCAAACCAGAGCCACAATCAAGACCCGAATCGCTCAACTAAAGCCCCAAGCCAACGAGAAAACGATACCAGACAAGCACCTTGCAAGCTGCTACGAGCATCTCTGCCGACTGTACTATACCGCCCCATCCTAGCCTACACTGGGCTATACTGGACTTTACTGTTCTTTTCTGTGAAACACCGTACTACACCATACTACACAAATCTGTAATCATACTACACCATACTATTACTATACTAGTATTATACTTGGCTATACTACACTAGGTTATTACTATACAATTACTATACAATTACTATACAATTACTATATTACAAAATAACTATATTACTATATTACTACATTACTGTATTACTATATTACTATATTACTATATTACTATATTACTATATTACTATATTACTATATTACTATATTACTATATTACTACATTACTATATTACTATATTACTATATTACTATATTACTATATTGCTATATTACTACATTACTATATTACTATATTACTATATTACTATATTGCTATATTACTATATTACTATATTACTATATTACTACATTACTATATTACTATATTACTATATTACTATATTACTATATTACTATATTACTATATTACTATATTACTATATTACTATATTACTATATTACTATATTACTATATTACTATATTACTATATTACTATATTACTATACTATTACTAAACTATTACTATACTAGCTGCTATACGTTTACTATACTATACTACACGATACCAGCAACCAGCGGGCAACATAATGATCAGAACCACAACGGAAGCAAATATGACAGTACTCGCAGGAATCGCAGCAACCAAGACCCGGATAATCAGAACCAAAAGTGACCCCGCATGGTACCCAATAGAGCCATCCGATTCAGGAACCCAAGACCCTAAACAGTCGAATCAGGCCTAAACCCTAAACCCTAAACTGTAAACCCTAAACCCGCCGAGCCTGAAACCCTTTGAAAAAGCACTGGTTTAAGTCTGGCATCCAAAAGCATCAAATCTCGAAGCAAAACAACACAATGGGTTGGGCTTGTTCAGCCCAGGACTCTTTCTAGGCCCCACTGAGGCTCTGGCAGGGCTCGGTATCGACATTGGTGGGCTCGGGCTCCTTTGTCGCGTGGCCTCGGTGGGAACACTTGGTTTCGGCAGGGTTTAGGGTTTAGGGTTTAGGGTTTAGGGGCTTCTCCTTCACACTGGCACCTTCTTTACTGCCGTTCCTCTCGACCCCCATCACGACGTTACCTGCCTGCTGCAGTGGGCGTCTTTTCTTTGGGTGTAGAGCTAGAGCCTGTGCCAAGGGGTCACTATTTGGGGGGGGGGGTGGCCGGGACCCCACCTGCCACTAGCCTGCACCCTAAGTCAAAATAGAAGTCTCAAGGCCAACATCTTGAGAACCCCAAAATCTTCCACCCCAGAAAGCCCGAAACCAGCCCACATCAACGTATGTGCAATCGCACTGGGGTCCTGCACGGCTATATATTTACTACAACTTTACACAGATCCCCTAACCAAATAGTCGTACTTATTCTTCACCCACCCAGCAATACAGCAAAATGTCCCGTCAAGGAATGTTCCTTGCATAAGCTTATGGGAAGCCTTCTGTGATCTAAGTTATGCTCTGCCACTAGGGATCAGGGCATACGTCAAGTCGTCTCTCTGGCAATGGCTGAAAACCCTACAGACCCTGAACCCTGAAGCCTATAAACCCTAAACCCTAAACTTAAACTCCCCATATAGACTAAACCCTAAGGCCCCTAGAAAAAACGGGGAAACAGCGCCGAGCAGCTGCTGGACTCGCCGGGGCAGTGCGCAGCGGGGCCTTGGAATGCTTGAGGGTTTGAGGTTTACGTGGACCCCTACATGCGGAATAATTGCCCTTCGGCATGCAGAAGACTGATGGCCTTTTGTGGGTGTTGGGCCATCAGTTTGCCAACTTTTGAGGGTTTAGGTGGGGTTTAGGGTCTTGGGTTTTGGGTTGCTGTATGGGGCCAGGACTGGCTAGATTTCACTCAGTACTCATGCCTGGGTAGGGTTTGGGACCTGAAACCGGATATCAACTGCAAAAACTCGAGTCAGCCCCTCAAATGAAACCCTCGGCCCAACAAAAACCTTTCAGCATCCCAACTCCAAAACCCCTGGCCCCAAATCCTACGCCGACACCGCACATGCCTCAGCCTGACATAATCTCAGGCTATGACAACCCCGCATACAACCTGTATAAAACCCTTCTTTAAGTTCCTTCCCATATCCTGTTCTCGAGACACTATATTTAAAGGATCATGGGACTTAGTAACTAGGGTTATAATTGGGGTAACTATACTTATAACTACTTTTTACCCCAATTAAGGTACTTATAACCTTACTTAATCCTCCAAGTACACCCATCCCTAGAATTCAGCCCTGACACCGTGAGTGCACGCCGGAAGCCGGGCTTGCTATTTGCCCGGAGAGTTCGTACGAAGTCCACCATGGCTCCTTCCGCGGGGCTTCGGGGTTTACATGCCGCCGCATAAACAAGCCGAAACCTCCGGTTTGAGCGAGATCAGCATAAGGAACTCCCAAAACATGCAGGTTTCAGTGTTGCGGGTTAACCAAACAGGGGGAGAGCCAGGGTTTGCTTTGGCTTTGGCTTTTGGCGTCCGGGCTTGAGGAAATGGGGTTCAGGGCTTAAGCCCTGATAGGGCTTGAATTAGTGCTGCTTATACAAAGGATAATATACCGACTGCCACAAGACTTTGAGGTTTACTCCTGAGTTTAACGAGACGAAGCTTAATCAAGGTTTGGGATGGAGGGTCTACGGTTAACTACACGGCAGACTCCTGGACGGAAGCCGAGGGTTCATAGTTACTTCGTCCGTCTATGGTGGAAGAAGTTTCTGGAGGAGTTATGTTTGTGAAGTTCTCTGCAACCTTGCTGGGGGATGTGAACTTTTGTGTTTTAGGCCTTTGACTTGCGTGAAGTCGCAATCATTAGCCCTAATCCGTCACAAACGGCTTGAAGAGAAATCCTAGACCTCGGAAGCCGAAACTCTCCAGCCCGGAGTCCCAAAATCCTACCCTAAACCCCTACAGTAGAAGCCAGAAAGTTGGAATATCATTATCGTAACCCCTTTAAGGTCAATTTTAGAGGATCCTACCATTAATCCATATTCCAACTTTCTGGAGCTCCCTGTGAACCCTAAACCCCTGAAAAGCCCTACATCACGTCCTGTGAAGCCGCCATCCTTTCCCATGGACACCTCCCAGCTAGAGCCTTAGGAGATGTCGCGTTGCTTTCGATCAAAGGTGCAGGACCAAAAGTCCTACTTCCTAGTAGTAGTAGTAGTAGTAGTAGTAGTAGTAGTAGTAGTAGTAGTAGTAGTAGTAGTAGTAGTAGTAGTAGTAGTAGGGCTTTGGGCCTTCGACTGTAAAGAATGTTGAGACTCAAACGTCATAAGCCCTGATCCCCCAACCTGAAACCTTTATCCTGACACTTCGACCAAATTCGATCATTTCAGGACCGCAGAAGGCTATGACGGCTATGGGCTACCTCGAAACTTTGGTTTGGGGGCATATAGAACCTAAACACTAAAAAAAAGCAGGTTGCTGACAAATGCTCAGCGTGTGCTGCTTCTTCTCGCCAGACCCTCACATGACGACGATGAAATGTACTCGCATGCTCCCTTTTGCTCCTCTTTGCTATCCAGTCTAAACCCTAAACCCTGAACCCGAAGCTCCAAACATAAGCATCTAGGACCCTGAGTCCCAAACCATGAAGGGTTCAAAGTTCAGGCCTTTGGGTTTAGGGGTTCAGGCCTTTGGGCTCTGGGTAGCAAGCAGATTATATTTGTGGCTGCAAGTACCGTACTTGGCTTTCGATTATGAACAACACGACCTCTACCGCCCTCCCAAGTGACGTGAACCCTACACAACAATCTAGAACAAAACCTAAGACAAAACACATGTAACTCCTTTCACACCGAAAAACCCCAAAACGCGCTTGCTCAGCCTTTGTTTCCTAAACCCTAAGTCCCCGGATCCTTCAAATCAAAGCATCCTGTCCACTACAACTCGCCTTGGCACCTTGAATACGACATGCAAGTCTTGTCTTGGAGAGCGCGTTGTTACCATGACAGAGAAATAGAATCCACACCATAACAAGAAATATCGAGACCACAACAAAAAACAACTTCACCACGCCAGCGCATTGCAAACCTCACCACGACAAGGCATCAAAACCTCACCACGACAAGGTTTCAGCAGCAGCAGCAGCAAGACACATCAGCAGCATCAGCACCGGTATTGCTGCCGCTACAGCTGCTGCTGCTGCTGCTTCTGCTGCTGCTACAAAAGCCCATCCACAGGCACCTGCTTTTCGCAGCATGCCAAAAGCTGCTGTTGATTTCTGGGGTTCGGGTCAGGAGAAGGAGTGTTCGTGATCGCAGAGAAAGACTAGGACTGACTAGGAGTAGGACTTACAGGATGTCGTCTAAACTGCATGGGAAGATCATCTAGAGGATCATTCCTTTCCATATTGAATCAGATAAGATGCAGAATAGCAAGGCACTACCACGGACCCTCAAGCTCCAAAATCCATCCCCAAGAACCCTCCGGGTGCTTTTGGCACCCGAGTTACCATTTTGCTAATTTGAGAGCCCAAAAACCTCAAAATGGTAACTCCCCCGCGTGTGGCGGGACAAGGGGGCGCAGGGACGCGCGGGAGTCGCCATTTTGCGATTTTCGCAGCCCAAAAACCCCAAAATGGTAACTCCCGCGCGTGTGGCGGGAGATCGAGGGTAACTCCCCCACGTGTGGCGGGAGAGCGGGGGGGGCAGGGACGCGGGAGTCTCCGTTTTGCGATTTTCAAGCCCCAAACCCCCAAAATGGGGAGAACTGGGGGGCAGGGACGAGCGGGAATCGATTTTGCGATTTTGACAACCCAAAAAACTCCAAAATTGTAACTCCCGCACGTGTGGCGAGAGATCGAGGGTAACTCCCCCGCGCGTGGCGGGAGAGCGGGGGGGCAGGGACGCGGGAGTCTCCATTTTGCGATTTTCACAGCCCCAAACCCCCAAAATGGAAACTCCCCCGCGTGTGGCGAGAGAACTGGGGGGAGGACGAGCGGGAATCGAGATTTTGCGATTTTCACAGCCCAAAAACACCAAAATGGTAACTCCCGCGCGTGTGGCGGGAGATCGAGGGTAACGTGGGCAGGGACGCGGGGGTCTCCATTTTGCCATTTTCACAGCCCGAAACCCCTAAAATGGTAACTCCCCCGCGTGGGGCAGGGACGCGCGGGAATCGTCATTTTGCGATCTTCACAGCCCAAAAGCCCCAAAATGGTAGTTGCCATGACAGGCTAATAGAATCCACTCTGGTGGCAGGAGAACGGGGGGGAGGGACGCGCGGGAGTCACCATTTTGCGATTTTCACGTGTGGCGGGAGAGAAGGGGGAGAGGGATGCGCGGGAGTCGCCATTTTGCGATTTTCACAGCCCAAAACCACCAGAATGGTAACTCCCCCGCGTATGGCGGGAGAGCGGGGGGCAGGGATGCGGGAGTCTCCATTTTGCGATTTTCGCAGCCCCAAACCCCCAAAATGGAAACTCCCCCACGTGTGGTGAGAGAACTGGGGGGGCAGGTCGAGCGGGAATCGTGATTTTGCGATTGTCACAGCCCAAAAGCCCCAAAATGGTAGCTCCCACGTGTGTGGTGGGAGATCGAGAGCGCGTTGTTGCCATGACAGGCTAATAGAATCCACTCTGGTGGCGGGAGAACGGGGGGGAGGGACGCGCGGGAGTCACCATTTTGCGATTTTCACGTGTGGCGGGAGAGAAGGGGGAGAGGGATGCGCGAGAGTCGCCATTTTGCGATTTTCACAGCCCAAAACCACCAGAATGGTAACTCCCCCGCTTGTGGCGGGAGAGCGGGGGGCAGGGACGCGGGAGTCTCCATTTTGCGATTTTCGCAGCCCCAAACCCCCAAAATGGAAACTCCCCCGCGTGTGGTGAGAGAACTGGGGGGGCAGGACGAGCGGGAATCGTGATTTTGCGATTTTCACAGCCCAAAAGCCCCAAAATGGTGACTCCCACATGTGTGGCGGGAGAGAAGAGAGAGAGGGATGCGTGGGAGTCGCCATTTTGCGATTTTCACAGCCCATAACCCCCAGAATGGTAACTCCCCCGCATGTGGCGGGAGAAATGGAGGAGGGACTTGCGGGAGTCACTTTTTTGCGATTTTCAGAGCCTAAAGAGCCTAAAACTCATCAAAAGCTCGAAACCCAAAAAACCTTGCCGCAATATTTGCTCTAAACCATTTCGAGGGCAGGCAGAAAGTCGCAGATCTAACTTATTATTGATGTCCCTGCCCGTCCATGGCAGGCGCTGTCAATCAATGCCAATTCGGACAAGATTTGCGAATCATGTCGTCTGCAAGCTGCTCATGGAATCATGCACTGTATAAGATAGCCAAGACTCCACGGCTACGCACTGCCAGGGTTGACCCCAAACCCTTATCAGTGTAAGAAAATAGCTTGTCGTTGTGGTCAGAAAGCCTGTCTGTGTGTCTGCAAGCCTTGTCGCGGTAAGGACTTACTCTGTCTTGTGAAATACAGTAAAAGCCAGAAAGTTGGAATACGACTATCCTAAACCCTTCTATGGTAAATTATAGGGTGTCCTACCCTGAAACCATATTCCAACTTTCTGGAGTTCCCTATACAAGGTCCGACAGAATCCAAGGGTAAGCGGACATTTTTCATTATGCTCCAAGGCTCCTACAAGCCCAAAACCCTAAACCCTAAACCGAATGCAGGCCTTGTGAAAACCTTGATGATATAGGTTCCTGCATTACCCATTCTAAGGAATATACCATAATTCCCATAGATTAGGGTCCTTAAGGTTCATAACATCAACTTGCACGCAGAGTCTCCTCAGCAGTGCAAATCACATAACTAACTCTTAGAAGGCACATTGGCAGATTGAGAGAAACAGATAGTCCCTTTTTGCGTACCCTAAATATTACAGTAGGTGTCGTATTATAAAAACTCAAAAAAGGGACCATAATTTTGACAACCATTCACATATTTACCTCATCAGCCCTAAACCCTAAACCCTAAACCCTAGACCCTAAACCCTAAACCCTAAACCCCTCATCAGCAGAATCACCACCCAGGCTGGGCTTGCGGCGCCTTTCCATTTCGGGAGCCTCCGCGGGCGTCAGTGACCTCTCCGACGCGGGTTGAAGGGTTCTTACAGGCTTAGGTGGGGTTGAGACTAGGGTTTTTTTTTAATGGGCTCTTTTCCACCTGAGACTAGGGTTTAGGGTTTAGGGTTTGGGGCTTAGGGATTAGGGCTTAGAGATTAGGGTTTTGCGTTTTTTTGAAGTGCAATGACTGTTGGTTTAGGGTTTAGGGATTGTCTTAGGTGCTGAGTGCCCTAGCCCAAAAGAGGGTAGCCTTTTGAACTCTAGTAGGGTCGTAGAAGCCCCAAAAGGTTACAGGTTACCTACACAGCTACCCAGAGAGCCCAATACCCCTTATCAAGGGGTATTCGGCTCTCTGGGTACGAAGACAAGACTGTAAGGTTTCGGGTTTAAGGTTCTTGAGATTGATGACTTACGTTGCCTTGTCCATGGCGACTGTCAAAACAAGTTGCAGCTGATGCTCGTGATGCTGGCGGCTCCGGCCGAGGTGATCAAAACGCGCTGCAGCTGATGCTCATGATGCTCTTTTTCCTTTGGCTGCGGGATTTGAACCGCACTGGGGTGCTGCTGCTGCTGCTGCTACCAGTGATGTATGCTATCAGGCGGGAAGTCGAATCTAGATGCGGCGTGTTTTCGTCGTTTGGCTGTTGGCATGGTGTTGTGTCGAAGCAAATGGCTCCTGATGCTCATGCTGCGGGCTTGTGTAGCCATAGCGCCGTGTTTGAATCTTTGGAAGTGCTTTGAACTGATGCTCATGACATGATGCTCACGACTGAGGTCAAGTTCTGATGCCCGTGCACCTGATTTTGGTCAGCATGGCCCCTGATCTTAGCCGAGGAACGCGTGCAGCTGATGATGCTGGCTGGCAGGGGCTTGAAAGCGCTATCAAAGAAACGAGAGCTGATGCCAGCAGGAGCTGACTCGTATGATGCTGGCCAGAATCGCGGTGATGGCTGCGAAAATTGCCACGATGCCTACGTTGCCTTGTCCGTGGCGACTGTCAAAACAAGTTACAGCTGATGCTGCTGATGCTGGCGGCTCTGGCCGAGATGATCAAAACACGCTGCGGCTGATGCTCATGATGCTCTTTTCTTTTCGTTGCAGGAGTTGAGCCGGACTGGGCGGCTGCTGCTGCTGCTGCTGCTGCTGCTGCTGCTGCTGCTGCTGCTGCCGCTGCTGCTGCTGCCGCTGCTGCTGCTGCTGTCGCTGCTGCTGCTGCCGCTGCTGCTGCTGCTGCTGCTGCTGCCGCTGCTGCTGCTGCTGCCGCTGCTGCTGCTGCCGCTGCTGCTGCTGCCGCTGCTGCCGCCGCCGCCGCGGCTGCTGCTGCTGCTGCTGCCGCCGCCGCCGCTGCTGCTGCTGCTGCCAGTGATGTATGCTATCAGGCGGGAAGTCGAATCTAGATGCGGCTTATTTTGCGTCGTTTGGCTGCTAGCATCGTGCTGTGTCGAAGCAGACGACAGCTTATGATGCGGGCTTGTGTTGATATAGCGCCGCCCTTGAATCTTTTGAAGACATGCCTGAACCGATGCTCACGACCTGATGCTCCCGATTGAGGTCAAGTTCTGATGCCGAGAGCTGATGACACGCTGCGGCTGATGCTTATGATGCTGGCCAGAATCGCGGTGATAGCTGCGAAAATTGCCGCGACGCTTACATTGCCTTTTCCATGGCGACGGTCAAAACAAGTTGCAGCTGATGCTGCTGATGCTGGCGGCTCTGGCTGAGGTGATCAAAACATGCTGCAGCTCATGCTCATGATGCTCTTTTCCTTTGGCCGCGGGAATTGAGCCGCCAGCTTATTTTCGTCGTTTGGCTGCCAGCATCATGCTGTCTCGAAACAGACGGTTGATGCGGATGCTACGGGCTTGCGTAGCAATAGCGCCGTCATGATGCTCATGATATGGTCCGCACGGCTTGGCCGGTGCACGCTGCCAGTGTAGGGAGGACGGGGGGCCTTGTAGAGCCCTTTAAAGGAACCCTTTATAAACCCCTGTAAAGCAACCCTTTGTAGAGCCCTGTAAAGGGGACGGGGCGGGGGGAGGGGGCCCTGAAACTAAACCAAGAGCTTTGAGTTTTCGGGGGGCGAAAGACTGAGGCTTAGGGTTTACACGCCCGGGCCTTTTGGTACACTATGACCATTGTTCTCACCAATTGTTCGTGCTCTTTGTCAGCTTGTATACAAACACACACCTTTATACATATATATATATATATATATGTATACCAGTACTCTTATTGTACTGCTTGTCACGACTATTGCTATCATTGTTTCTCGCACTATCACTCGTAACTCTGTTACCACGAGTACTTGGACAACTATTTGCTATGAATGTGGCTTGAAGACAGAACCGGTGCCTGGAAAAGGGCGACGGCGTCAGCGGTACATCGGTGCCTCGTCTTGCTTTGCTCTCTCTCAAGCGACAGGTGCTCTGGAACTACTTAAAGGATCATGGGACTCAGTAACTAGGGTAAAAACCAAGGTAACTATACCTATAACTACTTATAACCCCAATTAAGGTACTGATAACCCTACTTAGTAAGTCCCATGATCCTCCAAGTAGGGGGGGGGCCATGTGTGAGGACCCTGCTGCTTTTGCCCTATCTGCCCTGTCTGGTCACCACCCATCACCGACTAATGACGCCGGATCGGAAGAGGAGGCTTTACTGGCTACAGGGTTTAGGGTTAAGAGGTTTAGGCAGCAGCATCCATACAACAAGGATCCCTTCACAGGATCAAGTCCCAGGAATTACAGAAGGGGAAGCGCACACACTTGAGTGGTCAGAAAAGACAGCCCTTGTGACGCCGTGATGGAACCAGCATATATCATCACAAATCATAAAGATCAGAGACCAGCATCCATGTCATGGCCTAAGCATCAGGCTTGCCTAGGATCTAGGAACTAGACGGGGTGAGGGTGTAGGCATGCAGTCGTTTCGGGTGAAATGGCAAATCCCGGCGACTGCAACTACATGTTGAACCCCCAACCCTAAAGCCGTAAAACCCTAAAACCCTAAAACCCTAAACTCCTAAACCCCCTAAACCCCTGGAGCCGTAAAGCCCCAAACTCCTAAAATTCTAAAAGCCCTAAAACCCTAGAAGCCTACAACACTAAACCCTAAAACCACAGAACCCTAAAACCTCTAAAACCCGAAACTCCTGAAACCCTAAAACCCTACAGATCCCGTATAGAACCCTACAGATCCCTTCAAGGGAACTCTAAAGGCCTCAACCCTAAGGCCCTAAAGCCCCTAAACTCCTAGAACCCTAAAGCCCAAAGAGACCACAAAGAGACCAGAACCCTAGAGGATCCTAAAACCCCTAAAACCCTACAGAGACCAGAACCCTAGGATGCTAAAAACCCTAAAACCCTAAAGAGACCAGAACCCTAGGATCCTAAAACCCCTAAAAACCCTAAAGAGACCAGAACCCAAAGCAGACAGAGGCAGGCGGCTGCCGGAGCTCTGAGCTGACTCCTCAGCTGCTTCGGCTTCAAGACAAACCATCTTCAACCCTGATAAAGGGACCTTAAGGGTCTATAAGGATTACGATAAGGGATACTATAAGAGTAGTATATATAGCTTCAAGACAGGGATTTAGGGTTTAGGGTTTCAGGGGAGCTATAGGGGTTCCTTTAACGGGCTCTATAAGGGTACTACAAGGGTAGTATGGCGGTTTAGGGTTTAGGGTTTAGGGGTTTCAGGGTTTAGGGGGTTTAGGGTTTAGGCGTTTAGGGTTAAGGGGTTTAGGGGTTTAGGGTTCAAGAAGAAGGGATCCTCAACCCCCTTCGGCTTCAAGACAAACCCTCTTCAGCCCAATATAGCGGCATTAACAAGAAGAATAGGGTCCTGTCTTGCAGGGCTTTCGGGGGGAGCTTCGGGTCTAGGAGTAGAGGGTGTCAGGGGTTGGGGTTTGGGGAATTCAGGATCAGGGCGTAGGGATTTTGACTTCCGAGGTTGAGAGTGTGGGGTTCAAAAACTCCACCCTACATCCCCAAATTAACAACAAAGAAAACCGAAAGTAAAGCCTAAACCCAAAACCTGTTGCTGATTGTCTCGGTGTCGGCTCAGGCTTGGCGTCTGTGTTACACAAGGAACGCGGGGAGAGTCTTGGATTTTTTGCAGCCGAAGCCTTTAGAATTTCGAGTTTAGGGGTTAACGAACGATTCTAGGATGTGGGACCCATCACAGCCTCTCCCATCGTAGGCTTTTGGGGTAGATTCTAGTATCGCTACGTTCTGGGGCTACAAATATACAAGGGCGAGTTACAACCAAATATCTCCGCGGGTTCCACCCAAACGCAGATCCGAAAGGCATTTTGTAAGGGCTTTGCTATTTTCCAATACTGCTTTGAAAATACCTTATTATAGCCATAGTATAATGGGCCCCAAAACCCTATTCTAATAATTGAGACCCCTGTATTACCCCACGAAGATGGCTACTGTCTGAACCTCCAAACCCGACGGACAGGCAGGAAACACGCCACAAAACCCTCCACAAACCTCCCAAAACGGTTGAAACCCCATAAAGCCTTATCCGACCCTTTACAGCTTGGCAAACTACGACCAAAAACAAAAACCCACAAACCCCGTGAAAGTCCGGTAACCTACCCTTTAACACCCCCTCCTAGCCCACCAAAACAGCGAGTGAAACTCTATAGCTAACACATCAAACAATCCTACAAAAATCATTTAAAACACATCAAGCCCTATTACAGAAGTCCTATGAAAACCGATAAAACCACACAAAGCCCATTAAACAACCCCCCTAAACCCGAAACCAAAAAACCCGAAGCCCCGCTATGAATGCAGGGAAGTCACTGACCTGAGTCCTTCCTTGCTCTTTGCACTGGCATCACTCCTGACCTCAGAGAAAACGGCTTGGGGTTTGGGGTTTTGGGGTTTAGGTTTTAAAGTTGGGGGTTTGGGGTCTGGGCTTTAGGGTCTGGGGTTTTGGGTTTAGGGTTTAGGGTTTGGGGTTCTGGGTTTTTTGGGGCTTTAGGCTTTAGGGTTTATAAGGGTTTGGGGTTTTGGGCTTTTTGTGGTTTTGGGTGGGCTTTGGATTCGGGTTTAAAGGTTAGGATTATTTGGGGGCTCAGGGGTTTGGGATGTTTGGGGTTTTGGAGTGGTTGCGGGTCTCGGGTACCGGTTGGATTTTCGACGACTTTAAGTTTTTAGGGGTTGGTGGTTTGGGTGGTCGGGCGTTTAAAATATAGGCTCAAAGCTTTACAGCTGCAGGGCCGTTGCTTTCGGGGCATGGGGTTTCATGGCTTAGGGAAAGGGGGCTTGGGGGGGCTTGCGACGTAGTATCCGCATGTTTTGGGACATCGAGGCACTGCAGAACTGGGCGCTTCGGGTCCTAAAAGCTCGTACATGCCCGGGCCATGCGTACCAAACCCTAACCCATAAACCCTAGCCCTAGACCTAAAACCCGACACCTAGGACAAAAACACGAGCCGGGGCACGTGATACATCCGCCCGAGGACTCCCTGCCGACATGCTCCTGAAGGCAACGCAAGCCCGAATATCAGTTTAGAACTTCGGGTGTCGGTTGGAGTTTTGGGGTTAGGTGTTGCGCCTTAGCGTTTAGAGATGGGATTCTAGTTTTGGGTTTTGCTCGGGCTGTAGGGGCTTGGGTGAACAAACTCGATGAGACAAGTCTCTTTTGGATTCCAGAATGTATCACCTATTCTCGCTTCCACATAATTCGATACTTTGTTCGTTGAAGTCGGCGACTGAGAAACTCCTTACACAGTCAAGTGCCGTCGCAACACAGCCAGACACCAACACCCTGAAGCCCAACTCTTTAAATGCATAGCACCTGCCACTGATGATCTGGGTTGCTTGTTTAGAGGGGATTTAGAAACAAGTGCTGGTTCATGTGGATCAATCATCACAGCCCACCCCTGTACCCCAGCTCCTAGAAGTTCCAGTTTTGCACGATCAAAGAATGTACTAGAGGGGCCGTACCCGAATTCAGAACTTTCAATAGCACGAAACCCTTGACCCGGAACCCTAAAGCGTTTAGGCGTTCAGGGTTTTGTGCAAACCTTGCGAAATGAAAAAGAACTCACGACAACCCGAGACCAAAGAAAGAGGCTCATCGAGTGCGACCCTTCGAGAAGTAGAAGCCTTGTACAGTCCTTGAGTATTACTGTAGTAGAATATAGTATAGTATATTATTGTACAGTATAATACAGTATAGTGTGGTGTAGTATATTACGGTATCTTACATTCCCTTGTATACCTTAAGCTACGTTTTTGAAGGGTCCCACAAAGCAGGACCCTAGAACAGGTAGGTTATGTAGGGTAAGGTAGAGGCCTTACTGATTCGAACAACGTGTGCTACACTATATTCATAGAACGGAACTTTACGAATCTTGTTACAGTACTACCTGTTAAGGCCCGTATGCTACTACAAGCCACCCACAGCCACCTACGACATCCCATCAAGACCATGAAGACGACTATCACAAACGAACACGACTCCAAACCATTTTAACTATGCTCTTTTGAAAGCCATGTAAGAACTATATATATATATATATATATATATGTTTGAAAAAGAAACTACCGAATTCACTGTCTCAGTATGTTCTAACAGGGATCCAAAACAACAACAGAGCAAAATCACTACCAGTGGTCACTCATCATATCCTCTCATATCCATGGTGGTGCAAGACAAGTACTAATGCGCACATCAATGCAGAACAATCGTAATAAATACTAAACACCCACAGGCCAGTTAATTTGAATCCCCAATACCCTTCCCTCTCCCCCCACCAAAAAAAGGAAGATGGAAAGAGTGTGTGTGACAGAGACAGAGACAGAGACAAAGACAGAGACAGAGACAGAGACAGAGAGAGAGAGAGAGAGACACACACAGAGGGAGACAAAGAGACAGAGAGACACCTAAACCCCTAAACCCCTAAACCCCTCAACCCCTGCAAACCCCAAGCCACTTGCCACTAAACCCCCCAAACCCCTAACCCCCCTAAACCCCTAAAACTTCTGAAACCCCTGAAACCGAAGCCCTAAACCCCTATACTACCCTTATAGAGCCCTTTAAAGGAGCCCCTATAACCCCCTTTCAGCCCCTAAAACCCTACACCCCTGCAGCCGAGCCCTAAAACCAAGCGGAGCGCCATGGGGAGCCCCGGGCCGCCCGAAAGGACGCTTTCGCCTTGGAGAGCCTGCAGGCGGTTGCTTACTTAAAGGGTCCTGGGACTTAGGGACTTAGGGTTTAGGGTTTAGGGGAAAGGGTCTACTTAAAAGGATCATGGGACTTAGTGGCTCTTTAAAGGGATCTATAGGCTTCCTTAAAGGGATGTTAGGGTTTGGGGTTTAGGGATTACTCAAAGGATCATGGGACACAGTACCTGGAGTTCCTTAAAGGGCTCCTTAACATTAAAGGGGATCTGTAAGGTTTCTATAAGGGAGGCTTAGGGCTACTTAAAGGATCATGGACTTAGTGAGGGTTCTTAATGGGCTCTTTAAAGGGATCTATCGGCTTCCTTAAAGGGATCTTAGGGTTTTGGGTTTAGGGATTACTTAAAGGGTCATGGGACTTAGCAACTAGGGTCATAATTAGGGTAACTATACTTATAACTACTTATACCCCCAATTAAGGGTACTTATAACCTTACTCACTAAGTCCCAGGATCCTCCAAGTACAGGATCATGGGGCTTAGATTCCTTAAAGCGTTCCTCTATGGGTTACTATAAGGGGGCTTCAGGGTTTCAAGAATCATGGGGCTTAGGGTCCTTAAAGGGTTCCTCTATGGGTTAATAAGGGGGCTTTAGGGTTAAAGCATCATGAACCTTAGTAACTTTGAAGGATTCCTTCAAGGGCTACTATAAGGGGGTGTTAGGATTTCATGGGGCTTAGTAAGCAAGGTCCCTTACAGGGATCCTTAAATCCTTAAGTTTAAAGGTTCTGTTTTGAGGGCCTTTCAGGGTTTAGGGTTCGGGTTTCAGGGTTGCTTTCAGGGTTCCTTACAGGGTTCCTTCAAAGGGAACCATGGGACTTAGGCTTCTTAAATGGTTCCTTAAAGGGTTCTTTAAAGGGATCTACAAGGGAGCCCTATCCTTAAGGGTCCCTAGAGATAGGGGTTGGAGTTTGGGATTTTGGGGCTTAGGACTTCGGGGCTTAAGGTTGAAGGAGTTTACCAAGCATTGTTCTGCTAAAGGCACCTACCTTACAGTGAAGAGACCATGAAGGAGAGATATTATAACCAATCTGCTTGCCACTTGGGGTCCTAAAAGGGGTGAAAACCCTCAATATGGAGCTGCCGCCAAACCACCCTTGCTCGGAGGTCCCGTGGGGGCGCGCGGAGTCAATACCTGGCACTCTTTCAGCACGAATTTCAATCTCTATACCGAAACCCGGTGCACAAGATGTGGGGCTGAGTGTTTCAGTTTAAGTGTCCAGCGTTTGCCTTCAGGATTTAATGATTCAGGCTGAGGGTTTAAGCGTTTTGTCTTTAGGTTTTTTAAGCAGGGTAGGGCTTGGGGGTCGGAATAGTTTATGATACTCGCCTGTTAGTGTCCCTATACAGTCATAGCACCATATACACCAAAACCCCATGCTGATCATTCAGACCCCAAAGCTGGGCCTCCTAAACCCTAGACCCTGACAAAGATGCTGGTTTTTGGGGTATCAGGTTTAGGGACTAGGGTGTGGGACCGCTGCTACCCAGGAATAACCCTTATCAGCTGCAGTTCAAGCCATAGTGAAAACTAAAGTCCCTCTACTTGGGCTCGATACTTGAGTAATCCGGCTGCAATGCCCAACTTTGCCCGTCGAGTTTTGACGAGTTCGAGGTGCTTGGGGCTGGGGATAGGGTTGGCGACGGTCAACGCTCGTGCACACCTCGGGTGTAGTTTCTGGGTTTCAGGGTTGAAGCTTTGCGGTGTAAGGATTGAGTTTTCAAGCCCTGGCGTTATGTCCTCCAAGTCTGCAGGCTTGGACCGCCGGGTGCTTGTGCCACAGCGACTTCTCTAAAACTTGCAACGCCGCAGCTCTATGCTCGCCACTTCGCCCTAGGAACCCTCTAAACCCCGTGCGAACACGCATGTTCTACACTTCTAGACTGGCCCGGGTAAGCATCCCGCACAAAACGACATATGCCGCCAGGTCCTCAAAGCCCAGAACGAGGGCCCCGAATACTGGATCTGCCCGGGTTTAAGCTTTTTAAACGAGGGTTGGGGGCTTGGGATTTAGGGTTTAGTGCAGTGGGTCGAGGGCGTAGGGTTTAGGGTATAAAGTTAAGGGTGTAGGGCTTAGGGAAGTTATGGGAAGTTTAGGGTTCAGGGTTGAGGGCTTGGGGCTTAGGATTCGAAGCCTCCAGGAATCTGCCACCATTCGGCTGCGAGTCCCAGACATCAGACATCCGCAGAGGAAGGTCTTTGTGCTACTTCCTCGCACCTCGAAACCCTGGACAGGCACGACTAGCTAGTGTGGGCTGAATGTGGGCTGGAGCCTATCTTATCTTTGGAGAACCAACAGTAGCTACAACCAGTATGGCCAAATCCCGCTACCCCTGGTGCAGCTGCTGCTAGCCACTGCTGTCGGTCTGCGGGCCGTGGGCTCTACATGAAGGCACTCGCAACTAATGCGCCCGACAAGGCTTGAACCAGGCGGCGAAGCGATTTTGGGGTTTGGAGTTTAATGGCTCGGTTAGGGTTGTGTTCAGGGTTATGGCCGGATAACCACGGAACGACCCAGTACTTCACATGTTAGTATCTTCGCCCTAACCCCTGACCGACGCACGGCTCTGTGTTGCGAGGCTAGCCTAAGTCTTTCAGACGAGCATAGACCATCCTTCCCCTTCTGGGACGAAGGACAGTGGCTTCAATGGACAGGCTTGGGCTTACTCGCATTTTATTGAGGCCGAAATGGTTCATGCACCCGTCACAAGACAGAATCGAAACTCCAGTTCTCAGAAAGCTCGCAGCAACAGAAAGGAACGCCCGAGTCTTACTGCTGATGGACAAAATCCTGCATGACCCTAAGGACTCTAAACTATGGGAACTATGGTATATTCCTTACAACGATGCAGGATTTTGCCCATCAACAGTATGGAACCCTTGCAAGCCAGAAGTCTGAAATCAGTCCCGGTAAGCTGACCTCCAAACCCATCAGGTGCCACCAGGGCCAGCAAAGGATTCTACGAGGGATGCATAAAGAAGTTCTATACAGGTCTCGACCTAAGGACAAGGATCAAGGGAACAAGTAAGTGGTGCTACCACTAGTGTAACTACACATAAGGCCATCGATAACCCTAGTTCCGCTACTTGCAATCACTACGGAGTCGTCGTTGGCTCGATACCTCGGATCCTCAAAGATTACAATCTGTCTACTTTGTCGGGGTGAGCACACTTGTTCTATACTGTACATATACATATGTATATGTATACATATATATATATATATACACACACATGTGTTTGTGTGTGTGTGTATGTTTGTCTGTGTGTTTGTGCATATATGCCCGTATGTTTGCATGTCTGTATGCATGTCTGCCTTTATGCTTGCATGTCTGTATGGCTGTCTGTCCGTCCGTCTATGTGTATGCATGCATGTTGTGTGTACATGTACGCATACACATGCGTAACAGTGAATATATATATATATATATATATATGTATATATATATATATATGTGTGTGTAATAACAGTTGTTACTGATATTGTACCTATGTGTATATTTATGTATGCTGCATATGTCTAAACACACACACACACACACACCATATCTACATGCACATGCTATGTATATGTATGTTTGTATGTATGTATGTATGTATGTATGTAGAGATTTGATATCCCGCCCCCCGCCGCGTGCGGTCGCAATGTGTATGTATGTATGCAGGCATGCATGTATGTATGTCTCTCTGACAGTCTGTCTGTCCGTCGTCTGTCTGCCTGCATGTATGCTGTATGTACGTATGTACGTAGGTAAACCCTAAACCCTAAACCCTAAACCCTAAACTCTAAACCGTTGAATGTATACATGCATACTGCTTGGGGTCTGAAGCTCTAGGTTTGTGGCCTAAGGGATGGCTTCGGGATCAAGCCGTGGAGTTGAGGGATTAAGCTTCAACCTTTGGGATTTTGGGTTAAGGGTTCATAGGGCTCATAGGGTTTAGGGTTTAGGGTTTAGGGTCTAGGGCTTAGGGTTTAGGGTTTAGGGTTTGGCAACCCAAAACCTGAAAACCTGAACCCTGGCGTTGAAAGCGCTTCGAGGCCCGTTCTGAGCCGTGCGCCAATCCTTCTTGGCGCGAGACCAACCGAGGACATCAGGGGACTCGGATGTATGCGGGTAAGGCTCAGGGTTTAGAGCGCAGGGTTTCTGATTTAGGCTGGGCAACTTAGGGCTTAAAGGCCCTAAACCCTAAACCCTAAACCCCTAAACCCCTAAACCCCAAACCCCCAAACCCCTAAACCCTAAACCCCATAGCTTGTTGGTTTCAACTTGTCGGGCTTTGGAAGTCAAGGGTTGAGACACCTCCAAAGCCCTGGACTCTGGACCCCAAGCCCCAGACCCTTACCTTTGGTTACTAGGGAATGGAGGAATGGGGTACAATCATGACTACTATTACTACCATATAACTATCATATTACTACCATATTACTATCATATTACTATGATATTACTACCATATTAATATCATATTACTATCATATTACTACCATAAAACTACTATTACTACCATTCTTCCATTCCCTGCTAACCAAAGGTAAGGGCCCATACAAGCTGACCCTTCCGGCGGCCGTCCCAAACAGAGGCTGTCGTTCGGCTCAGGACCCTCAAACTCATTCCTCTGGAGTCTAGAATTTATGAGTTTAGGGTTTGGGGTTCAGGGGTTTAGGGGTTTAGGGTATGGGCAGCTGATCCACAATTTGGGATTTGGCGGTTTGGGTTCTGATTTGGGGCGTTGGGGGGGTCCATAGGGTTTGGGGTTGAGACTTGCGTTTCGGGCTCTTGGAGGATCATGGCACTTAGAAAGTAAGGTTACAAGTACCTTAATTGGGGTTTTAAGTAGTTATAAGTATAGTTACCTTAATTATAATCCTAGTTACTAAGTCCCATCATCCTTTAAGTTGGCTTCATGTCCGGCGCTGCAGGATTCGCGGATCTGTTCTTCCATGATACCTGCCGTGGTAGTGCCTTGATAGTATATCTTGGTCGGTCGAGTACATGCGGGCGCTATGTTGAAGATACCTCACTATACTTCACTATACAAGCCCTTTATAAAAGCCCTTCTAAAGCCCTGTCAAACCCCTTGGAACGCCTTTACAACACCTGTGATTCTCGCGGCTTGGGGGCTTTGGTAGCTTGCGCCGATAAGCCCTGTTCGAAGTTGGAGGCTTGAAACTTGGTGTAGGGGTTGCGCGGTTTAGGGTTTTTCGGGCTTTCGGGTTTAGGGTTTAGGTTTGGAAGAATCTGGGCTTCTCTTGAAGGCCTTGTAGGCTCTTCGGAGGAAATGCATGTCAAGGCAGAAATACCCCCTAACTGCAACCCTTAACTCTGATCCCTAAACCCCGTACACAAACCTCAACTCCCGAATCCCTAAACCCTTATTCTTAGACCCGAAATTACTGACCCGTATAGAAACCCCTATAGTACCTTAACAGTACTCCTGGTAGTAACCGTAGTAGCCTTTACGGTATTGTAGTAACCGGTTTAGGGCAAACTCAACCCCACACGGCAGGGCCCCTGGCGTTGCAGTCGTAGTCCATCTGCACCGCCGGCGCGGAGACATCACAGCCCTTGTTTTCGTTTGTGCCTTGGTCAGGGCTTAGGGTTTAGGGTGTAGGCTTTAAGGTTTAGGTTCTGGAGTTTAGGGTTTTTAGGGCGTCAGGGATTGAGTGATGTTTCTTGTTAAAGGTTTAGTGTAGGGGTTGACAATGAGGTCTTAGCAGAGCGGAGCTAGCCTTAACCCTAAACCCTTCGGGTGCTTCGGCAACCGAGTCCGCATGTCGGTGCCCAAAGGCCCAGGTAAGCCTGCCTTCCAAGATTTGTTAGGGGTTTCTGGAAGGGCCCCTATAAAAACCGGAACTCGATGTGGGTGGTTGTCAAAAAAGGGGTCGCTTTTTGGGTACCCTAAATAACAGGTGCTGTATTATAATAGGGACCCCAAAACGGGACCCTAATTTTGACAACCACCCATGTGGCACTCTGAGCCTGCGGCAGCACCACTCCTTCTTGGCCTTTGACCAAGCTGCCCGGAAGTTGTTCAGCGCCTTATCAGGTGGGAGTTTCCGAAAATTCGGGTACCTTATTTTGGGGTCCTTCTAATGAGGATCCTACTATTTAGGGTATCATATTAAAGTCCCCTATTTTCTGAAACTCCCAAGTGGCTTTGGGTTTGGGGTTCAGGGCTTGGGGTTGAGGGCTTTGGGTCCAGGGCTCAGCGTCTAGGGTTTTGGGCCTGGGGTTTCGGATCTTGGGGCTTACGGTTTAGGGCTAAAGGATTTAGGTTTTGTGTTTTGGCTTGCCTGGACGACCAAAAATACAATATGAAAGCATTGCGCCTGAGACCTGAAGTCCAACAAGCAGGTTTCCTCCTATGTAATGCCCCGGGGCGAAATTCAGTCTCGAAACCCACAAGCTTAGGTAAAAAAACTTCACACAAGCATGCTCTCCCTCACTCTCATTTCTGATCACCAGAGTTACGACGACCATGCGCTCTCGCACCATACAACTTTTTTTGAAGCGGAGCCCTGCAACCTTGGGGGGCGAACCACTTGACAGCGGAAGGGCTTCGTCGTGGTGGTGGTGGTTGTGTCAGCAGGTGCCTGCACCTTGCAATTCCGAAGGTTTCGAGTGCAGCTAGGAGCTTGCATCATCAATCGTGAGGGGCATGTTACACTTCCAATGTATGAGGGAATCCTGAGGCAAGAGCCAATAGCTGTACTCTTTTTACATGAGAGAGGGTGCAAGATTTAGCACGAGGCAGGAGGGTTACTGTAGGAGCCTTTAATAATTAGGATCGGGTTTTGGGGCCCATTACACTAACCGCCAAAATAGTATAGGTAACTATTCAGGCCCCTATATTAGGAGGGCTCAAGCTGTGCCAATGAAGCCGCGGTGGCTTCGCCTCAAGGGGGTTCTCTGGCTCTCAGATGGAGCACTCAGAGGATGTCGCGGCTCTGGTTGGGGTTTGGGGGTTGGGGGTCGGGGGGGTTGGGCAAGTTGGGGGGGTTGGGGGGGTTGGGGATTGGGGCTGGGGGTTGGGGGATTGAGTTCAAGGGTGGTTGCTTAAATTAGGGACCCTTTTTGGGTACCCTAAATAGTAGGTGCCGTATATATTCTAATAAGGACCCGAAAAGGGACCCTAATATGGACAACCACCCAAGTGAGGTCATAAGGTATGAAACTGAGGG